AAGACTAGCATCTCTGTAAGAATCTCTGCAACGCCTTGCACATCCCCAAATAATTTCTTTGATATTGTCCGCAAGAACAGTTGCAAGAACTGCTTGTTTTTTCCTCCCCTTTCCAGCACAGAAGAAAGCAAGCTCAGGACAGAGTTTACAGTGTAAGTAAAACTAAGAACTGACCATTTCAGAAAAGCGTTTTGGTTTCTTGCCATGTTGTCTAGAATTTCTCTAAATTGCTTTTCAGTTTTCTAAAATGACCAGCCACCTTCACATAAAACCCACCTAAAGACATCTGAAACAACACTGGGAAATAAATTGTGCTACCATGTAGGCATCACCCTCATTAATTTATCTCTTTTTGCACACAAATGATGATTTGCCAGTGTATTTGTTTGACTGTTTTTGAGCCCATGGGTGCCAAATACCTCTCCCAGAAGGTGTTTCAAGACCCAGCTTGTTTTCATGCTGTTAATGAACCCCTAAAGCAGTCTGCTTTGGTTTACAAAAACTGATATTCCTGTTGCATTTTAGCCTCACTCTGCTGGAGTCCACTTTTTCTTTTTATAGAATGTTTTCTGCACCTGCATGCAAACTTTATATGTGTGCATGTCTATTCTATGCCATTTCAGCAGCATGCTACTTTTGTGATCTGTTTTCCTCTGCTGCAGCAAACAGCTGCCATGAAATAGCTTATTTCCTCTCCTTGTGAGGTGTGTAAACAAACGTCTCTCTGCCTCCTCCCAGCCAGGTTTATCTTCTGTATTCCTACTCCTTGTTTCTATCTAGCTGCTGCATCCCTCCCTTAATGTAACCTGAGGGAAAGAAGAAAAGCTATTGCTGGAATTGCTGCTTCTCAGGCATTGAGGTGCTACTATGGTATCAGCAATTGGTTCCAAAGTCACAAGCACTGAACTTTAGGAAAGCAAAGGCTCCATGTAATCACTTTTCAAATGAACTGTATGCCATTAATGACAGGTAGAATGTGCAATTGAACAGACTGTATGGCAGGCATGGGAAATCATTGGCCCTTCATATCATGTTGGACTCCAACTCCCATTAGCCCCAGCAAACATGGCCAATGGCCAGGGATAATGGGAGCAGAAGTTCAGCAACATCTGGAGAGACAGAGTTTTCCCCAACCTGCTCTGTGGGGTTGTATTCCCCACCGCCTGCCCCAGTTGTGGTAGTGCAAGCTTGTTGTACAGCAGGAAGTACTGCTGACTACAGCAATCTGCTGTATGACCTGCCACAAGGCTTCCTGCCCTTTCCTTGTGCAACTAGTAGCCCACCAAGGGGTGATCAATTAGTGCAACATTGAAATCCTCCCTTGTCTGTAGTATGGGAGTAGCAGGGACCTATTTGACATGGGGGGAAATTACCAAATAGAGAGAGTATAAAGCAAGAAGTGACCTGTGGGGTCTCCCCATCTGGCCTGCAGCACCCCCCCTTCTGCAAGTAGACTTGAAAGGAGCCTTTTATTGTACTCCACAGGCGGTTTCTTTCAAGTCTAACTGCAATGTGAAGGAAGAAACATTGCCATAGTCTAGACCACCAATCACATCTCCTCTCCCATGAATGAACACAGGGAAAGTATTGTTTTGTTATATCTATATAGCAAGGATAGGGAACCTGTAGGTGGCGCTCTAGATGATGCTAGACTACAATGTTTATCATCCCTGACTATTGGACATTGCTTGCTGGGGTTGATGCGAGCTGGAAGAACATCTGGAGGGAGAATCCATGGTTTCTTATCTCTGACAAAGAGGAGTGGTATGACAGAAAACAGTACTTTAATTTTATTCGTGCTGACACTATTTTCTGATCTTCCATGGCCAGGCTCTACAGCGGGATAAGATGGCTGAAGCATACAGCGAAATTGGAAAGAAAGGAGAGGTAAGTGACACTTCTTGCCAATTTGGCTCTACACGTAAGGTGCCAAGGTGGCTTCAGGCAATACTCTGCCTGCTTTTTTCCTACCCTTTATTTAAAGCAGTACTGTCAAGCAAAGCAGAAGTTATAGTCTCCTCCTCACCCTTTTGATATTGTTTGAATGACACTTCTGTGCTTTATAATTTTCATTTATTACTGATTAAGGGGCAGTTGAATCAGATTGTGCAGCACCTTCTTAAAAGACCAATCAGAAGCACGCCTCCCACTCCCCCCAGTTAAATTGAGCCAAGTGTGAGTGTAATTATTAGCATGGGCAAAAAGATATTGGGCAGGGAGATTTTGTATTGATGCTGGGCTTCTTTTTTTCAGAGACGACGTGGCAAAGGCAGTGAAACAGTTTATCAGGTAAGGCACCGCAATAGCAAGCCTATCTCCCTACAAACTTCAGGGTCACAATCCTATGGAAGCAAGCTGCACAAAAACAGCTCACACAGGAATCTTGTTTGCCTTTGCTTTAATTAATGTACATACAAAGGGCTGCTTGTGCGGTATGTTTCTGGCATACGTGCACCCTGTCAATTTGGATCACCTTTCTACAGTGGGAGAACACAGCAAGTGCCCTGTTCCTCACTTTGAGCCATCTAAGAGAATATTTTTGCATGCCCAGAGGGTTAATGCAGTCTGTGAAGGAACAAGAACAGAGGCGCTTCTAAGGGCAGTATACAACTTTGCTTCCTCGCTTCATCCAACAAACAATGGACCAGCCACATTCTTCTCCTAAGCAGGACTTTTGCCTTGCTATGAGTATCAGCCTGTCACCTTTATTTACTCTGGATAGAAACCCAGAGTTGTTGGACTTATTAATCAGAAGTACTAAGTCCATATGCCCCTGCTAAAAATAACTACAGTTACTTTGTTGATCTAGTTATAACTTTGAGTCATCTCATCTTTCTTTATCAGGGTCTCAGCAAAGCAACGAAGGATACATACGATGTCCTTCAAATGCAGCCCCTACCACCTCCTTACTAGCTACAGTTGAGTCTAGCAAGAGGAGAACTATTTCCATGGTGAGCGGGAATCTTGATTACCATTCTCAAGATGATCTATGCAGAAATCTGTTGCCTTCTATAACAAATGCCACTTTTACATGAGCATAAAAACCAAAGCTCCTTTTTAAAACTAATTTCAAGTTGCAGCTTTCAAAGTGTACATAGCTGTAGAGCTTGGGCACAGTGTTGTTGCTCAGTTAAAATTTAAGACCAGCTGTTGCGATGGATATTTCAAACTCATTTTCTTTTCTGGGGAAAGATGTTTTTTGAAGCTAAATGTGCATTAAAAAATGTTGCTCATGTGGAAGGATTTCGTTCCAGAACATCAGATAATTCTGAGCACCAACAGGTTAACTGCCCCCCCCTCTTGTTATAGGTTTGGGTTTTTATTTATAAATAGCAATTGGGGTTTGGGAGGAGATATGAAGTATCACCATTGCCTTGAAGGACCTTTTTAAACACTCTTTTGCCAAGATACAAAAACATGCACACATTTAGAGTAAAGAAACCACCATTGACCTTGGACTGAGTGCAGTAGGGCATTCTTTTGAGTAAACATGCACTGCTAAAGGGATTTAATATGAAAATTGACTTATGCTGCATGAGAAGTATGGGCAGGCACAGACAGTATGTTCCCATAGTTAAGAGAATAGAAGTAGGTTCTTCTTCCACAGGACATATGGTTGGTTGAAATGAGTACATTACCTCCTGTTTTAAATGTAGATGCTTCAAATTCCTGTTAAGTTTGATCAGGATTCTGTCTTGTCAGGTGCTGCTGTCCTGGTTAAGTGAGATTAATACCAGTGGAGCAAGGGGGGAATTAGCTGGGGGAAGCATGTTTACACAGAAGGAACAGCCAGTGGATTTACTCCATAGTGTTTAGAGTTGTAGCCTTAGGACGTGGGAAGTCACAGCTGCCTCTTATGCTTTTTTCCCAGGCAAATGCCTATTGTGAGAATTTTATACCTTGAATCTATTTCCCTTACCTAGTTTCACAGAGGATTTTTATTCCTTCTGTCCATCTTATCAGACTGATTGATCCAAAAAGGGTTCACATACATCTCTATCGGCAAAATGGAAGTGAGAGTCTGCTTATCAGAACTCATACTGTATTTTATCAAAGTAATTGTTAAACATCTTCTCAATTGTATTTCAGTTCCTCTTATATATTGGAAATATACATCCAGTTTTTTCCCTTTAAATTTTTTTGAGGCCTCCAAGAGAGTAGGGCCCCAAGCTATATAGCTCTTTTTAGGTTATATGTAAATCCGGTACTGGGCAGAGGTGGTTAAATGTATAGGGTGTGCTAAGCCTAAATCTGATCTTTCAAAAATACACTTCTGGAGCTTTAAATCTATAAATTAAGTTGAAAAGAACAAAGAAAATGCTTTTCTATCTAAAGAACTGAAACCATGTGTTCTGTGTATTTTTAAATAAAAGCTTCTTAAATATACCTGCTTTTCCCTCTTCTGGTCTTATTCCGGATTCGTTTGAACTTCATAGCCCCATCTTGCAGTGGAAAGTAAAAGGAAAAAAAGAGCTTAATGAAAAGGAGCAATAAGTCCTACAAAACCTTAAGATTTAAAGCTAAACAAGGGTGCACGCATCTCACATCAATGACTTTTAGGACAGTTTAGAAGGGCAGCAATATCTATTGTAGGACCAAACTAGTAGTATGCATGACACATGCGCCTGTAGCAATAAACAAATTATCTTGTCAAGGACACAAATGTAGAGAATACTAAAGAAATGTGCATTACGATGTTGAGCTACTTAGACAACCTGCACAAGATCTGAACATGGTGGTTACTTAACTGAAAGAATTTAACACATCCTGTTCAACATGGAAGCCGTAAGTTAAATTTTCTGCAGAATAACAGAATTGAGCAGCTTACCTGTTTCTGCTGTCCACTTATGTGAGTCTTCTAACCTGAGATGTCTTGTAATTTGTAGTTGGGAGAAAATAAGGAGGAACATCCTTCAGCTCCGGATTGTCGGGTTTAAAACAACAGAAATACAAGGCTCTGCCATTTCCTTTCACTTGTTCAAAAACCACAAACCAGTGCGTGCATGTTAAAACACTTGGAAAAATGGTTTAATGATGTTTACAACAGAAATGAACTGTACAGTTACAGTAAGTTTTATATATATAAAAATTACAGCAGACAAATGCATCTACACAAAATCTACCATTTTCATCCTGATTCACTATAATCTACACAGTCTCTCTCAATGCCCACAGCCACCTGTAGGCAGCCACTAGGGAAAAAATAGAAGGTATATTTAAAGAGACAGCATCCTTTTCATCTCCATTTTGGAGACACACACAGTTTCAAATTAGGGCCTTACAGTTCTCAAGTTTAAAGTTAGGCAAGAATGCATTGTATCTTAATATATTTATCACAGTTAGATACAAAGTGTTCATGTGAATTAAGCTGTACAATTGACCACATTAGCAGGCCTGAGGAAGAAATAAGCCAACTTGATGGTTGACAACAGGGAAGCTCTGTAATCAACACAAATCTCTCTTTTTTGCCATAGGAAGAGCTCAGGATTTTCTAAATCAATTTCCCCAAACCATAGCTTTGTTGGCAAGATGCCTCTCCCCCACTTTAAAAACAAAAAGCATAAATTCCTAGCATAGCAATATCCATGCTTTTAGTTATTCAATTGCTACACTTTTGAGTCTTGCCTCACCTTTCAAAATTAAAGGACAATGTTTTCAGGGAATTGGACCTTTATGGGAGGGCAAAAGTACAATCTCATTGTTATAAGCATGCTGTCTCTTTAAAAAAAAAAGGAATAAAGATCTCCCTGTTGGGAATGGCAATCAGAGAAAATGCAATCTAAATCGACAATCTGGTGGAAATCACAGATTATGTACACTTTTTCTCAATTATGAACACCTAGGCAGTGAAAACTGTTGTGTTAATACATACATTGACACACCCAAAACATACAAAAATACTATTATTTCAAACTACTAAGAATAAGACAATTCAGTTATCTCCATGCTATGACTTTAAGAGCATTACACTGAAACAAACAAGAATTTAAACAACATTTTTAATATCCCAGAAATATACCAAAATATACATCTAAGCTTTGGAATTACTGAGGTTAGACTAATGCAAGTGCTGGGTAATTGTACTTAATACACAAGTCTAAGGTTCTGCAGGAAAGAAATTATCTTTGGTATCTGCATCAGGCTAATATTATTAACATTTGGATTTTGCTTTGGGATAGAGCTTGTATGACCCTAGAACCAAACACCCCCTAATCAACTGAGATTTGAAAGATCCATGTAAAAAGTTCCTTCATTGGCAACCCCCCTCCCCCAAAGTTTAAAAAGTCATAGGCATCTACCTACCTATCACAAAAGGTTGAGAAATACAATGCATAGTTGCACAGTGGTGCTGCAAAAATAATTAAAGAACAAAAAAGAAGTGGGGGGGGAGAGAAAGAAAAACAAAACATTTTTTTTCAGAGATTTTGCACAACAGGACAGCCTCTTCCAAGCAGTGGCCGGGGGGGGGGGGGGAGAGCTCAGAAGTGCACCTCAGCGTGTATTAATATCACCCAGCTCCCAAAGGGTTAAAAGCACCCACCAGAGCCGCCAGTCATGCACCAATGTCTTCAGCTTCACAACCAATCTGTGGAGTCCATCACTTTCCCCCACTGAACTCTCCCTCCCAACGGCTGTGCGCCTTTGGATTTGTGGAGGTCAAACAGAACCTGCTCTCCCAAGCAAGTTAGCACAGGATGGGACCGAGCCATCTTAGAGATACGATTGGTGCTGAAGACGCCCCTTTTGTCTTTGGTTTGTTTGTTTGTCTGTTTTGAGTTTATACAATCATTAGGAAATCTTTGGTTTTGGCTGGAAATTTCTAAAAGAACAAAACAAAACAAAGAAACCGCCCCCCTCGGCATATAGCAGTGCACCGTGACCTGGAAAAGCTTCTCTTTCCAAAGGGTGGGAAAACTACATTCAAAGTAAAATGGCAGAAGGGACAGGGATGCAGCTTCTGGTTAGCCTAGAGGCGGGGACGGGGAGGAACAAGATTGTCAAATAATAAACGAAGGAAATTAAATATGGGAGGAGCATGAGAGAAACAAAATTAAAAAGTAGCGAGCAATATGCATGCAGCACTTGGCTGAGAGGAGCCGTCAGGGTCCTGCCTTGACCCTGCAGTACATTATAGCCCTGACATCTCACCAGGGGGGAGGGAGAAGGCAGCATGGAGGTTTCATGCACGGATTGGGAGTGGAGATGGATATTCACAGACTACGAGAGGACCCCTGGTAACCAAAAGAAATAGAAGATTGCAATTTGCCCTCAGTTTGCAGTAGCTTTTAAGCAGCGACATTCAGAGGCTTTAGGGGGTCGCCCCCCCAGGTTGCAGGTCACAGGATGCTATAAGCCAGAGTTCCATGTTAATCAAGGGAGGGAGGGCAGTCTTGGCAACTCTGTAGGGTTTGGAGAAAGTTAAAGCAAGTTACTCAGTTATGAGTTAGAAATGAGGTATACGACAGCTCCCGTACCTGTGGCGGATAAACACCCGACACCTACTCACACCTAGCCTTAGACACTACCACAGAAGAAGGAAATGGAACAGCGACACGGTGGGACCAGGGGAGCGCAAAACGGCCGGAGTCCCGTGATGCTCTCAAATGCACTTGCACCTGACCTCTTATCTCCTGGATTTTAGAGAAAAGCCTATATCTTCCTCCAGGGAGGTTCAAATAAATGGAAGTGACCTACCAATCAGTATATGGGTATCTGCTGTGGCTTCTTCCTCAAATTCAAATACAGAAACTGGATCAAAAATGCCAATGTGCTAACATGGATTAGGTGGGACAAGTGACAGTTTCCCCCCAGCCCTGACAAAAGGTGTTTGTTCCAAGGCTGTTGGCCAGGGTGGGTGGCTTGCATTGTGCAAATATTAATTTGACACAGATCTGTACTCCTTAATATTTACCACTATTCCTGTAGTACTCTTGCCAGAAACATTCACCATTTACACTTATGGCCCCCTGGTGGGTTAAAGACATTTCTGCTAGAAATACTTCAGGAAGGCTTTTATTTTGATGGGTTCTACATTGTAAAAAGTGAAGAGAGAATTTTTGGTGAGAACAAAGATCAGAGTTTTAGAAATGTTTGGGGAAAGAGCCGACAACAAACTATTAAACCCATATTTTCGCCTGAGTGAGGTAAAGAGAAATAAGGCAGAAGAGGGGAGACATTCCAACCTTCCTCATACTACTAAGGATCTTTCTCTCATGATCCCATCTCCCAACTGGTTGTTTCATTTCCTTCCTCAGATTTGTTTTCTTTTAAAGCACACCTTGTTTTCCACATCTTTTGTTCCAAGTGCTCTTATCTTTGAGAAGTCATTTTCCATTTCCCTATTACCTACTTATAAATCTACCTAGCTCTTAGAAAAGTCACACAATATTAATACCACTTTACATAATGTCAGAACAATAAGTCTATTAGTAAAGCTTTCCAGGGAAGTTCTGCAACCCAGCTGATTTCCAGAGGAAGAATAGCTGGACAACTAATATATATTTACCTTCTCCCTTGCTTCATACATGAACACGTCAGGCTTGACTGATGCAATTCATCAAGCCAACAGCATGTAATGTGACAATGCCCAAAGCTATTCCGGGGAGGAAAGAAAGACGTCTCCAAGGTTTTCCACTATGAAAACCCACAGGACTTCTGAAATGATGTGAAACAGAGGACAATGCAGTTTTGATATTTAAGAGGACAATGCAGTTTTGATATTTTAAGAATAAAACCAAGTTTTCCCTACATCCAACAGTTGCTTGTGATCTTGGGTGTTGTACTGAATAGAACTTGCCTCCAGCATGTCCTCAGAAAAAGTATCCAAACCAACCCTGTGCATTAAGAAGGTAGGAAAACCAACACATGAGGAGATCCTCCAAGTCAAGAGTCATCAAACCAAACCTCTAAGACCACACATTTTTTTGCCGAAGACATCCTGAAAACAGCAGAGCTGCCAAAAACTAAGCAGTATACCTTTGGTTCCTATCAAAACATTGGAAATTCTCCCCCTCCAGCTGAAGCTCAGGTTTTCCTCTCCCACCCCTAGAAATATACTTCCCCACACAAACACACACTCTGTATTTTTCTGCAATCAGAGAAAGGAGATGCTTCAGAGTCAGGATGGAAGCAGATGAAGTCTCCCAAGAATGCCATCCAAAATCTGAACCATGTGCCTGTGAGAGAAAAATGACTCAACCTTCCATAAAAAGAAACCCACATCCAATATATCCTCTTTTCTCCTGAAGTCTGCCTCACAGAATCTTATCTCTTTCAGGTACTCTATACTTAGGTACTAGGAGCAGGTTAGCATTTGGTTTGGTTTCTCTTCTGCTATTTTTGGTCTAGACAGGATTAGCATTGCTATTAGAAAATTAAATTAATTACCACATACTACATTCAATAACAAGACAATCAGGGATAAAAAGAACTGTTTCACTTTGTTCTCCCAAATAACCTCCTCCTTTTCCAAATGTAAAAGTCTTGGCCCACCTGCAGCCCTAGTGCAACTACGTGGACTAAAATGGGTTGCTAATTCATCTCCTTGTATGCCCTCCTCCAAGCACATAAACTTGTTCAATATTTACATCCCCACCAAGGCCCTTGGTTTGCCAATAGAAAGAAAGCAGGGAGGCAGAGGCCATGCACACCTAGAAGGACCCTGGAAGCAATACAGCAGCTCAGTTATGTCTGCTGTTATGTAGCGTGTTGACAACGATAGCCAATGACAAAGTAGAAAAAGACGTTGCAAGCAACATTTGCCTTCTAGCACAGCTAACTCTCTCTCCTCCCCTCCCCCACCCCATACCCTATAAAGTTGTAGCCTAAATACAGAACTGCAAATACATACAGCATAAGTCAGGGTCTTCAAAACTAAACTCTACAGTTAGAATTACTTCCATTATTTATAAAGTTTCTCTTTCCCGATTTTCCATTCTGCAAATGATACTAAAGCTATGCTGAGGTATTTTTTTATTAAAAAAAAGGTGCCAGAAAGCCAGCTGCTACCAAAAAGCATTGTTCCTACAACCCTGTAACAATGCCTGCTTACAGAAAGAGAGACAAGAAGGGGTGGAAAGAGACTCCCAAGTTATGTCAGAGGAGAAGCCTTCATTTTGCTCCTTAGGGTCAAAAACATTTGGCATGCTTCATGCCAACATTCAGCCCAACTACATGTATACCACATGTTTGGACAAAGGTCAGTAAAGGTCATAGCAGTAAAGCAATGTCAGGCAGTGTGACTACAACCTTTCTTTCTCTCGAGAATAAAGCTAATTTAATTCCAGTGTGACTCAAGAGTCACTTCACACACTGTAATTTGCCTTCACAGAGAATGTCTATGCATAAAATAGCAACAGGCACTGCACATTATGATGCAATTTCCTAAAAGGATGCTATATCTGTATGTAGGAAAGTGAAATGTGTGGAACAGACCTCTTATCGTCCTGCATATTATCCCAGGAGGATTAAAGACTAATGTGATCTGTTGATAGGCTGAACTCAACATTGCAAAACCGATTCAGAAATGTATTAGGGATAGGCTGCGGCAACTAATCAATGCTAGGTCCAATATATCTCAAGTTTTCTTTCACAATTGATACAGATGTCTGTATTAAGAATTTTAAACTTTTGGAAGTCTCCCTAGAAAAGTGGAAATGAAATACAGGTTTCATTTTTCCATTGACTATTAATCAAATGCCTTTTGATTAAATTTGTGTAATCTGAAAACGTTTTGGGCACACAGCAAAAAGACAGAGAGGACTGGCATGGCTGGGCATCTGTCCAAGGCCCTCTACTGCCAAGAGTCTCCTTGTTCTGCTCCAGTGATAAGGGACATTTGCTGAGGGACCGAGGAGGGTGGAGGAACCCATGGAAGATCTCTTGCTCAAGGGCCCTTCCCAACATGAAGCCAACACTGGGGGAGGGTGAATGTTTACAAACAGGACAGTATGCCATCCCACAACACTCACAAAAGTAAGAAGACTGTGGGTAAATTGGCACTAGTTCCAGGTGCATTCCTTTTTTTCTGAAGCTGTTCATACAGGGCATGGACTTTGGCATCAAAGTCCATTCAAGAAGCTCAGGGATCTCAGCCACCTTTTATCACTTAAGCCAATGGAAAGCTCCCTACTGGCAAGTTCGACTTGGCCTAATAACTGCATGGAGCAAGAACTTTGCAGGTGGATGTCTTAAAAGAGTGTATTGCTTAAAAAACATTAGATTGCAACTTTGTAAAAAAAATTGGCTAACGAGTCCTGAGAAGTTTTGGTTAGAGATGAATAACCATAATCAGCCAGCCAGATTCTCCTTTGGTAGTGTTTTATCTATAATGGTTTATACCTATATACATTTATGAACCTCTAGAACCCTTTTAGAATTCATCTTCTAAAAAGTGCATGTAGGCACATACAGATCGAGCATAAACATACTCCTAATGTCAGAGAGAAAGGATTACATGTTCAAAGCAGAAGAGAGACTTCTACGTGGGATGTTGTTTTTTTTAAAAAAGGTCATTAACAGCATGAATATGATGAAATGATGCATCTGCCTAAATGTGCACTTCCATTACAAGAAATTATGTTACTGAAAAATATAGCCATCGATAAGATATTGTTAAATAATTCTACGTAACAAAAGTGTCGTCTGAAAGGTTAATAAAGGAACTTGTATGGTAAATATAGCTGCTACACTTGTGTGGCTCCAAAAGCAACAAGGCCATAGCAAAAGCTTTAATTATACCAAACACTAATCAAGTCAGTTAGTGGATTTTGCATCCTTGTGATGCTAACTGCCCCTGCAGCTCAAACCCCAAACATAACTGTATGGCCCCACAGTGGAACCAGTGCAAGATTACATTTAAATTGGGGAAAATGTTCATAAAGCAAGACTTGAGCGATATTTTCCCACATCTTATCACTTACAAGAATGAATGAATGAATCTATGTGTTATCTGTTCAGTGCTCACAGTTCCTATGTAATATTTGATGCAAATATGTTCATTTTGAATGTGATCTCACAAAGTTCCTACTAGATCCTGAACATAAATAAATCCCCATGCAAAAATCACATGAGCCCTCCACCTCAGGTGCCAAACACTGCATCAGAGCCAGTCTTTGCTTAGGCTGCAGTATAGCCCAACATCCAGTAACTGAAATAAGCCATCAGTGTGGTAGCAAATAAAATACAGTCTTTATCTTGTAATGGGCAGCCTACATTCTTCCAAGGTTTTTAGAACAGCAATTAAAAAGACAGTTAAAGCATGATATTACCAACCTAACCCCACATAATATACAACTGAAATAGGGAAGGGAAGGAGATAAGGCAACAATGGACTCTTAAGCCTGGTTTCTGGCACCGGAAATTCAGCAATAAGTACTTCTGTTCTTCCTTTATAACTTCAATCAATAACATCTTTGGTTGAACTTATCCAGTAAAAATGTCTTAGATGACAATCAACATAAAACTAAACTTAACCTATCAGGTATTTTCCTTGGCAATTGAAGCTTAGGAGTTATTTTTAAAATATAGCATGGATTCATCATTCACAGCTGCTTTTCCATCACAGGACACCCAGGCGACCCATTTTTATAACATCACGTTTGTAGCTTTTCCTAGCCTTGTTTATACACAGGCTCAGGCATCAGGGTTCTGGTAACTCACATAAATATCATGTCATTGTAAAGCAACTCTGTAATGTTTCTGAGCAGGTACAGACTTAGTGCAGAGCAGGTTGTAGGACTGCAATTTCCCTACCCTCTTTCTGTCAGCCTTAAACACGGTTAATGTCTGTGCTGGCACTCACCTGAGCCATGGTTAACATGAACGCAGGGATCCTGCAGCCCACCTTCCTTAGTCAGGGTTAAGATATTGGGAGTATTACATCTGATCCAACTCTATACATCAGGGGAAGTGACATTAAATGACCACTGTCCATTCACATTCACGTGGCATGTTTATTTAGGTGGCTGGTGGGAAAAACAGCAAAAACTTTTCAGATCCCCCCTTTTATGAGAAATTGTCTCCATCTCATTTCTGTCATATGTTGTAATCCACTGCACTGGTACTCCTGAGTGCCCTGGGTTAATGACAATTCCTACATTAGGCATGCTTGCTTATCTCCAAGGTAAACTAATTCATGGCCCAGACATCTTACTGCCGGTGCTAGTGGGGCAGCATGCAGGAAGAATGAACAGTTGGGCTGATCTCTGCTGCTCTGGCACTACAAATGGTCATAATAAGGTGACCCAAAGAGCCAATAAGACTCCACCCTACCTTATATAACCGTTGTCTCAGCCTTTGCTCTTCAGTCTTAGCAATCTATCACTCAAGTGAAGGTTGAGATGCTAGACTGCCTGGAAGACTTGCTTGGACCTGCAGAATTATTGGATAACCTCCCATCCACCAACCCTGACACAGATATATGGAGCAGTTATACATTCTCAAGATGGCAAAATAATGTAGAGATATAGGGTGGTACTCAACTAATTTTATGCAGAGTAGATGCACTGAAATTAAGGACAACGACTACATTAGGTCCATTAATTTCAATGGGCCTACTCTGGGTAAAGCATAGTTGAGTATCACACATAGTTTACATTTATAACACTTCATAAGCACAAACCTTACAAAGGAAGCGGTCTATTATATCTACACACACTGCAAAGTAAGGGCACATTCAGACATTACTCGTATGTGTGAGCCTCATACATGGGAATATGTAATGTGCAAATTGGTATATATGGGCAGATTCAAAAAGGTGTGGAAGAACAACTTTACTTTGAAATTATTAACCTTGTGAGTTTGTCCATCAGTATGATAAGCTATGTATTCAGCTGGAAGAACAACTCTCCTACAACAGAAAGTGTCCACACTGGCCCTAAGTGCACACAACTTAGGTAACTTGAATAGATGTTTTAACTCATCTGCCAATGGTTTGTCTGCTCAATATATCCCCATTTTTCACACCTTTCAAGGAAGTAGTATTTGCACCCAATAAGGTTCTGACACTCTGGCTTCTCTAAAATCAATAGAAACATTCCAACTCATCTGAAAGGGACACGGACTGAACTCTGCCATTTTCGTAAGTAACCTGCAACTGTGGAAACTGCAGGTACGAGGATTAACCTACTCCTTTCCTTTTTGGTAATAAAAGGTGTACTGAAATCTCTCAAGTTTGCAAGCAAACGTTTCAGACTTTGGCCTATTAAACAGATCTGAAACTGTGTGAAATGAAATGACAGCCTAATAACCCATGACTGAAAAAATGAAAATAAAATCAACAATCTAAAATCAACACTGGAATGCTGGACTAATTTGTTCAACTAATGCAGTAATGGAAGAATGGTTAGTACTGGATATTAGGGACACAGGTATCACACAGTGTTTTGGATTACAGGAATGGCCTTGGTAGTGACCAGAAAATTTTCACTATACCAGAACGTTCATGACTTTTGTGATTATCCTTGTAACTTTGTGGTAAGAGAAATGTATTCTAACAGTGAGGGTCCAGGGCAGATTCCCCAATTATCTGGATCTGATTTTCTGTTGAAGTGTGTATTGCAGAAGCTGATTATCCATCTCTCTAGAACAGCCTTTCTTCCAGAACAACTAGGACTGATGGCAATGGTATTCTGGAGGGCACCAGGTTGGGGCTGGCTGCTCTATAATGGGAAGAGGGGTGTGTGTGTGTGTGTGTGTGTGTGAATATGGCCATGTGAAATATAAAGCCAAGATCAACACGAAATAGTGACAGCTATTCAGAACCTGGTATCTCTGTGCTGCTGTGAACAAGCATCAATGCATTAGGTATGAGCGATATGAGGAATGGAATATGTAAAATAGGATGAATACAATTCAACTAAAGCATTTTAGCTGCATGTTTTTTGAGCTTCCAGTTTCTTTCACCAGAACCTGCTGTGAAATCTGCTAGTAGTGTGGCCGTGGCATGAATCTAAGAGAAATAAAGATTAAAGGTGCTCACACCAACAATATGTGAATACTGTGAATACTACAGCAAGATTTTTATGGCCATCATCTGAGCTATATTAGTGTTCCAGATTCATCATGTCCTCTAACTGCAAACAGTGAACCCAAGAAGAGGCAGCCAGTTAACTGAATAAACAGCTTCTCTTAATCCTTGAGAGTTTTGGGGCGATTTACAGGGCTGTGTTCTCTTTATTTTTTGTACATAAATATGAAGGGCTTATTTCCTCCTTGATGTTTGAAATTCATAGCTAAATAAATGCCACAGTTCAGAAGTCATCACCATCTCCTCTATTAAAATATATACGTATGGATGTGTGCGCGCCAAAAAACACAAATTAATTTCAATGGACAAAAAAAAAAAAAAAAAAAATCCATGGGATTGATATTTCCTTTGGTAGAAACTAGTCAACACTATGGCCTTGAGACCAACATAGTGGGTACCTGTCTCTCCTCTGCCATCCTTTCATACATTTGACTGCTCCAAGCTGTTGCTATGGGCCACTTAAAACCTTAACACACAGTATTATTCATAGCCCTATATTTTTAAACTGAGACTGAAATCATGGAGACAGTCACACCACAGTATATAGATTGAGCCAAACTGCTAAGGAGGATGTGGGAACAGTTGAATTAGTAACCATCTGCCATTGCCATTCTATTTACACACCAAACCACGGAAAGTAGATAATAATCAAGTTGAGATTTTGTCTGCCCCAAGGATATATAAAAGACCACCCCCACCCCCCAAAAAAGATTAAAACAAGCAGCAATTTTTATATAAAATAAAAAATGAAAAGAAATTGTCAGTAGCATCTATCACCTCTCTGCATCTGAACTGCACTTATACAAACTAGTCCATTAGTACAGCAGCTTGCTAGAAATTGACTTTGGTTCAAGCTTAGTTTTAAAAAAAATAAAACATTAAAAAAAATCAAACACACATAAGACGGTGGACGGACATTTGCTCACTTCCCTGCTTAGAGTTCACAAGTTTTTAAAGTTTTAGGAAGAATTCATTATTTTTAAATAGCTTGTGAAACAGGAAGTTGGAAATTCAGAGACGAACAGAGAGCAAACAGCATGACGGTATGCAGGAAGAGACAAAGATTTCTGCTAGTTGAGCATTAATGCCAGCTCTCTGAATTGGGATCAGCAGCCAGAGAAGGAAGTGAGAATAAAGTTACTGCCATTATGATATCAGGTGATAAAGGATATCAGGTGATGAGAGGTTAAATAATTACCTTTGGCATGAAATGCAATATAATTACATGAGTGTTAGAACTCCCCTTCTCCCCAGGCTTAGTGAAGAGAAAAACTGGGCAGCTCCTCCTTCTTGAAGATATTTTTCAATTCACCTTAAAAAGAGATTGGAGAGTTCCAAGTACATTGCAGTCATCCAATCTCTTCTCAGCAAAAAAAATTTAGATTCAGACCAGCATAACATTTAAGTTCATCTTTGTCTCTTCAGTCTCTCTCTCATCCATTGTCAGCAGCTGTTTGCGCATACCACTTGTTACGTTGCTTGGAAACATTTCCCCCTCTCTAGTAGAGGTGTTTATTACTGCCATAAATGATCTAGCTAGCAGCAGCATCACCCAGAAATAGCATGAAATATTGCAAGACGCATGCAACATGCCAGTGTTCACCAGAAAGACAACACTCTCCACGGCACGCTGGTCAGCTTTCCGAGAATTCCTTACCAACTTTTTCCAGAGCAGTGAACAGTGTCAAAGAACATTACAAACTATTTAGAATGGAGCACGCTCTGCTGTGTTGGCATAAAACAGTACTTGTTCACATGACCTAGTTTACTTCTGGAATAGAAATGTTTTAAGTTGAAAACATTTTCAGTACAATCATATTGGAGACACTGGAAAAAGTAAGTTCTTAGAGATGAACCAATGCAGCGTTCAGAAATCCTATGCCAAACAGCTGGTAGGAAGGTTCAACGAATGCATATGAATTATCACCAATACAGGCAGCCTCCTGAGAAAGTAAATAACAGAAATATTCCCAGTTGTAAAGTGGCCATTTCCATGCAATTATGAGACAAGACAGTGGCCAGCACAGATGCTGAAGACAGAACCTATGGGCCAAATCCTTCCTCCCTTGGCATCAACAGGAGCCAAAGACGTGCAAATGAGAGCTAGATTTGGCCCAAGTGTGCTGAGCAAACAGCTGTCCAATCAGAGCGCCCATCTCACAAGCATGGACTATCTTTGCACATTACCCTCTGTATGTTCACTTAGCCGCCAACACTTCTGAGAGAATCCCGAAAAACATACCGCCAGGGAAAAGGAAACTAAAGAACATTCGCAATTCACATGCTTCCCTCTCTTTGCTCCTCCCTCTGTGTGGCATGGGAGCTCACTGAAACTGTTCCAGGAGCAGACAAATGTGTCCGAACTATATATATATATATATTTATAAAAATAATAATAATAATCATAAAGAGATACATCAGTAATACAGGCCTGCCTAAATTGTACCAGTTAAGAAAGGAACCCCCAACACGATTGATAAGATTATAAACACCTTGTATGACATTATGGCCTGTACAACAGACCAATAAATGATAATTAAAAAAAGATATTTAGATCAAAAAGAAAGAAGAAATCCCATTCCTACGTTTGAGTTGATAACCCACCTTAACTTGTCATTGATACTGCTGGAAATGATAAGTAGTCCTTTTTTGTTTTATACATTTTTGGTTAGAAAGTTCTCCAGTCAATGAAGCAATCCTGAAAAGACAGTGTTTATTATAAAATTAGGCAAATGTTTGTCCCAGTTTTAAATCCTTCTTCTTGGTTTTTTTTTTCCTTTTGTATTTTTCCTTCTCTCCCTTGTCCCCAGCAACACGGTGAGAGGAAACCAATCACATTTTGCAGTTTGTAAACCCAGCTGGCAGCCCATCTCACTGCAGAGTAAAATAGGCTATGGGTAAGCACAGCTCAGTCCAACTCACTGCGCCTTGGAGGCAGTAGTAGTGGTGGAGGCAGCCCCGCTGGCCGAGGCCACGGTGAAGAGAGAGTTCTGGATAGACTCTGCTGAGGTGGAGGTGGCATGAAGGCTGGCAACTGGTCCAGAGGCCCCTGCGGAGGCTGCAGCTGCAGAGACCAAGCTAACTGGGTTGCTGGTGAGCAGTGAAAGGTTCTGAGGGTTCAGGAACAGAGGGGCAGTGACGATGTTCGGCGTACCTCCAGCATTGGCAAATACCAAATTCCCAGTTGCATCCAGTGATGTTATTGGAAGAGAGCCACCAGATGCAAGAGCTAGAGAGGGGCAGAAGAAAATGTCAGCATTCGCAGCCCCACACATCAGCAGCACTGAAGTTTTTCTTCTGACTACCAACGGATGCTAACACACAAACACACACACACACACACACCCCTCCAAAAATAGTAAACGAAGTCATCTCAACATCAGGAGGGAAAGCTGGATTGGATTCAGAGTGACTGAGGATTGAGAACTGATCATTTTATTATCCAGATAAATACACCATTTTCACCACAGAGGAAAAAGCAGGTGCCGTGAAGACCCATTAAGGCAGGTATGGAGAACCTCAGGCCCAGGGCCCAAATGCAGTTCTTGGGGCCTTTCTACGTGTCCCTTGGGGCTCTCTCCCCTGGCCACATCCTGTCCCTGTGCCATGCCCCTCCCCACAGGCTCCACACCCCTCACCAGCCCGGCTCCACACCCTTTTTGAGTGCTTTTGCCTAGCTGAAATTCATCCTTCAACTGCAAACATGCCTGGTTGCAGATATGCGATGGCTAAGTGTGTGCACCTACTGAAACCTTTGAACTTTCCACACTCTGCACAAAGGCAAAAGTCACATCCATTGTTATGCCCACTTTATGCCAGTGGCATGTTATGCCCACTGTTATGCCAGTGGCATGTGGGCCTCACAAGGCTCCTTGAGGGGATGAGGCCCTGGGGCTGAAAAACTTCCCCAACCCTTGCATCAAAGTATTATAAAGGCTCATGCATAAAGATATATGAAGTCAGATTTCAACCACCTGAAGAATGCTTAAGCCATTGTGTATTATTCACCTTCTGCGCTCTGATAATTAATTCATGGAGTACCTGTTCACTTTGAAGAATCATTTCATATTAAGAGTAGATCAGTTTGCCGCTTGGCTTTTTTGTTGACTTGCAAAGCCTGACCAGTTGCTAGCTTGGTTTGGTGGAGGGAAATATATGCAAACAAATGAGGTGCTTGATTATGAATATATTAATAAACGGCATTTTTGTACACCTAGAACATTTGCACATATATGTACTTTTCTTTTGTAAAAGAGCTACATATCGCTATGAATAAAATGTACTTGTTTGTTTATGACTGTGCAGGCAACAATGTCTTAGATGGGACTACATTGTTGCAGAATTTACACAGCACTGGATTTTCAAAAAATGCACTGGGGTGAAATTTTATCCCCAAGGACTAGGTTAGGATTTAATAGTCTGTTTTTCTGGTCTCAGCATGGCACTGGAATTGTGTTGGCAGCCTCTCTGAACTATCACCTCCTATAAAGTGATAAGAGGCAATAGCAATCATGCAGTTGATGCTTCAGGTTTCTTACCAATGTATCAGGAACTCACAAGTCTTTGAGTGACAGCCTTCAACTGTGTTGCATTCATTCCTGAAAGAAGGTCTGAGAGGATCCTGATGTATGAAGGTTGATCATTTCCCTGGAGGCTTCTAAGTGAAAATCCTCACAGGGGTGTTTTCATATACTGATTTTACTCAGACTAGTTATTATCTCTGTCAAAAGGAGTTTGGAATAAAATATGTCACCCCTTCATTGTCATGAGTGTGAAGTGTGCATGTGTGGTTGATGGAGATTTGAATATATAAAGGTAAATGTTTATGTAGAAGCAAGTCTCTTCAATGTGACATTTCCAATAAGGAGGTTTAGGATTTGTAGCCTCTCTCTCTCTCTCTCTCTTTGTGGGGGAAAGAACCCTATGAAAAACACAAACATAACAGACATGGGAAGACTGGTGAAAGTCCACTGACCTTGAATAGTTGCCAGAGTGCTGTTACTCATCAGAGCTGGGCTGAGAGCACCGCCTAGTGTCCCTGGATTGAGACTGAGTAAGGCACCTCTGCAATCCCAAAACAGGAAACAAAAACAAACTGAAGACAGAGCGACTTTCCAGGTGAGCAGTCTTAGACACAGAATTAGAATTTAAAAGTCAAATTCGAATTTCCCCCGTTGTTTATCACAAAAACGGACGCAGATCCTTTCAGCAACATTTCTACCTAGGATTTATTATTGACTGGTTGCATTCTTTAAAATCGATCTTAAAAGTGGCAAGAAATATAAAAACTTGCATTCAAACATTTTTATACCTGAAAAGTGCCAATAATCTCTGATGGGCTGAACTACTGAATTAAAAGAAAGAATTAAGGCAATCTTTATTTTCAAACAGCACTTATTTTTAAGTAAAGGTACTAAATGTGCAGTGTATTGACATCTGATGCCTGAAGGCTAGATAGTTAAAATGGCAAGCAAATTTTATGAATGGCAGATACCTACCCAGCTGCAAACTGTGAGGATGCCATCAAGCCTGGATTTAGTCCTGCTGCTGCTGCCATGGCAGCAAGACTTGCATTTGCAGGCAACTGTGCAGCTCCTTGGAGTGCCGCTGCTGCTGTTTGCAACCCAGAAGCAGTTACCATCACCTGGCTGGTCCCAATTGCTGAGGACATGGGGGTGGAGGTTGTCTGTGTTGTGCTGGTCTCACTGGCACTCGATGCCTCAGAAGTGGAAGCGGAGGCAGAAGGAGAGGGACTCAGGGAGGGCGATGTCACTGCTGAGGAAGCTGGGGGTGCGGTAGAAATCACAGTCGCTGTGTTGTTGGGGATGGTTTCTGTGGTGCCTGAAAGGATGGTTTCAATCAGACTAAAATAGTTAATACTCCTGGAAGAGATCTAAAACTACAAGACAGACAGAGAACAAAAGACACGATTCCAATGAATGAAAGGGCAATGCGCCAAAGTGTAAGGAAAAAGAGGACTGATTAACTCAATGGACACTGTGTGTTAGTACAGTATTGTGAACAGAACCCAAAAGGTACTGTTTATCTTGGATCTGAGTGTATTAAAACTTGTTGCTTAACAAACAACCCTGGATACAAATGATTCTAGGGATTCTCTGACATAATAGGTCACTAAATTTCAGTCTTTGTAACAGCAAGTACTTCTGCGCTGAGGAAGTCTGAATATTCTCTTACCTGTGACTGCCAAACTAGTTACTGCCGCGCTGGTTAGAGGGAGCACAGGGTTGACAGTCAGGGTTGTAGCTGCACTGCTTGTCACAAGGCTTGGTGTGGTTGCCACCTAGAGGTCAGAACAAAACAGCTAAGCTTTCTTAGAAAGGAAAAGAAATCAGATTTAAATGTTTACTACTTACCTACAAATACAGAAGCTAGCAAACACATACTATCATATAGCTTTGGAATGTTATTCATTGAAGCTTAGAACTATGCTACAGTGCTACTTGTAGTAAGAAAATCATTAAGCTATGTATAACGCAAACACCCATGTGAATCACCCAGCTCAATCCAGCAACAATTCATGTCTCGCTTAGTACTCAAAGCCCTCTGGAGGATGTCTTCTTCAATATGGACCAAAGTAGAAGCAATAGGTGGTGTACTGAACACAGCAGTGACCACTGAAGATAAAAACTTAATATTTTGAAATCTGCATTATGTTAACCTCATTACCAAGAGGATAGGAGTGATTTTAATTTCTTCCAGTCTGGTATAACTCAAGTTAATTCTTACCAATGAAGTTGGGCAAGGGAAAATTGCTTTGATGGGCGAGCTGCTGGTTCCACCACTACTCGGTGGGTTAATCCTTTTCTCCTTCTGGCGCCGGTTACAGAACCAAACGCGGATCACCTCTTTCTCCATGTTCAGCTGGTCAGCTATCATGGTGATCTCTTCCGAGGTAGGCTTTTGGTTCTGAAAGAGTAGTAATTTGAAGAGAAGAGCTCAGTTATAGTTTGGACACAGGGTGAATTCCCATTTTACAGGGAAGCTGCAACAATGAAAGCCAGCAGCTACCTATAATTGTTGCAGATACATCTGAAATATCTCTCTCATAGCAGGGAAGATGCACCAGTTCATCTTCTACTTCTTACATGGGAAGGACAGAAGGTGAAGTGATTCATATAGTCATAGTGTGTCAGGTAATATAGTATTTTATAATGTTATTTAATTGTTCTTATGCCATTTTATCATTTCATGCTATGCTGAAACTACTCAGCAGCCGTTAGAGTAGCACACAGTGCAACAGATCGACTAACCTCCAGGAAACTCTTCTCTAAGGCCACACGTATGTTGGTCTCTATGCTGGTGCGTTTCTTCCTCCTGCGGTTCAAGCCCTCAATCCCCAGCCCTGGGGAATTCAGGGCACTTGGGCTGGAGAGAGCTGAATCTGATGAGAGGTTTTCTGAAAACAGTCAACACAAGTCAAGGTCACTAATAATATATTTTGAAAAGGTACCACTCACAGTACTTGGTTAAACAACTACACATTAACTCATGTAATGGCCCCTCAACCTCAACCTAGGAATGACCAGCACTGGGCCTCCTGATGCCAGACTACACTCCCATAACTAAGGGTGTTCTCAATAAGGGTACCATGATTGTGGCATGCCCTTCCCTTACAGACCCGACTGACACCCACCATAGTTTCTAGCACCAGTTAAAAATGTATCCCAGGCCTTTAGTTAAGGGGTTTGTAGGCTGCCTCTGCTGACCTTATTCATTTGCTGTATGCGATGTCGGGTTATTGGTTTTGTACGTTGTGTATTTCATGCAGTTATTGTACATAGTGCATTTCATATTGTAATTTAATTTCCTTTATAATGTGAACCACTGTATAGTCCTGAAAGGTAGCATACAAACAAACAAATATCCAAAAATTCTATGGCTTGGATCTCAAGTTCCCTTGAGCAGAAATCCATTCATGGGACCTTCCCATCAAGTTTCACCAATTATCCCTCCTCCCAGCAGCCCCCTGTTCCTCCCCTCCTCCAAATCTGCTCAAGAGAGTTGAGGCACCCTCCAGAACAGAGCGGGAGGTGGTGTATGGCAGGCTACAGGATGAATTGCATCACTACCATTGCATCGAAAGCCATTCTGCAAACAGACTGAGCCCTTCAATTTGTGGAAGGGACATCTAGTATCTAAGCCTATGGGTCCTATGTAGCAGAAATACTGAAACGAACAGTACTTGCTATTTAAAAAGCCATACTATACAGCTTAGATGGAAAGTCAGTTCTCAAGATCTGAAGGAGAAAAGGTTTGAGCAAACCTAATTGTACATGGCCACATTTAGGGTTAGCTGCTAACTTTTTATATGCACCAGCCAATAGTTTTGCTCATGTATTTTTGAGCATTTTTTTGGTCTTAAGAATAAAAAGTGCCAGAGTAAGCTTATGATTATGTGGTTGAAAAACAATGCATATGTGCAATTATTTTCACATCAGAGCCAGTGCCGTACAAACGCTTCAGAAAGACCGCTCAAGTAAGTAACTATTTATGCTTCTTCAATCTATTCCACTTGCATAACAGACTGAACAGAATGAAAATATCTGTTGTAAGTATAACAAAATTGAACCCCACCACAAAGAGCATTGGAATAAAAATCTTTACGAAATTCAGAGTTGTTCTGCGGTATTTGAGGAATTTTTAAAGGAAATTCTCACCTGCATCATTGAGCCACTTTTCCAGAAGTGGTTTTAACTTGCACATGTTCTTAAAGCTGAGGTTCAAGGCTTCAAAGCGAGAGATAGTAGTTTGACTGAAGTCATTTCCATAGAGTTTACCCATAGCGAGCCCAACATCACCCTGCACGGTTGAAAGAAAAGAAGATGGGAATAAAACAAGTTGCTCAACAACATATACTTCTATAGGACAGATGTAATAAAATAAATCTCATTACAAAGCTATTGATGGATTATTCAGATTTCTTCCGTCTTGTTGATAGACGTATGCTAGCTTCCCACTGAATTAAACTGTCCTTTTGACGAATTTATGTCCAACACATGCTTTAAAATTGGTATAAGATAGACCATCTTGCAAAAGTGTTGCTCAAGAAGGAATAAAGATGTTATCTACAGGTCACCAAATGCACCAAATTCTGCATCTTCAAAGGCCAATTACTTGATTAGCGATGAACTGTTTCTAAATTTTAAAGTTAGCGCTTGGTCAAAGTATCTGACCCGCACCCTGTTTGGTGAGGAGGCCTGGTGAAGTGTTATGTACAGTCAAACCTCAGTTGTCGAACGTAATCCATTCTGGAAGCCCATTTGGCTTCCAAAATGTTTGACAACCTAGGCACGGCTTCCAATTGGTTGCAGGAACTTCCTGCACCCAGTGGAAGCCATGTCGGACGTTCGGCTTCTGAAAAACGTCTGAGAACTTAAACGTTCTGAAATGGAGGTGTTCGGGATCTGAGGTTTAGCTGTTTAAGGGATTCTGCCTCAACAGAGAGGGCTAAATCAGTTTCCACGGCCTTCAAGTCCAACAGTTAAGTGAAGTTAAGCACTTTTTCCCAACGTTAAGGGATCTCAGCTCAATGAATGAGTGCCTCTGCATATAGTCACATTAAAAGTATCAGGGTCAAGTACATAAACTCATTTAATTCATGTACAACTCATGACAGATCAAATTGACAACAGCTGGAAAACAACTGGGATAACAAACTGAATTATTTTTGTTTATGTAGGACATCCACCACCTTTGGATACAATGAGGAGTCTAATGACCATACTACTTAATCTCCTACTTTAGATATTTATTTTAAATTGTAAAGTCTTCTTTTGATTTTTTTTTTAACTTGAGAATTGAACTGCAATAGGCAATTAGTTTATTAGTCTTCTATATAAACCTGAACCAAGTAATTATTTCTGAAAGACAGAACAATAAATCTATAAGCATCTGAAAATAACTTACTGTACCACCAGCAAATAATTCTCTCTCACACACATACTTTGATAAATTAAACATTTATTACTTCAGTTTTCTAATTACTATCCTCTCACATAATTAAGCAATCACTATCATTAAAAACTAATTATGTATATAGCTTGTGCAATATAATTGTTAAGTAAATACTATGCTGTTTGTCATCCTAGTGGTACAATGTTTTGCTGCAAAACAGAGAAGTACAAGGTGCCCCTTTGACTTGGGGGCGGGGGGAGATGAATTTCATCCACAATTGAATTTTTGCCCATCTCAGTTAAGGAAAGATTGATTAGGTTGTCACATAGGATATACATTCAGTGGAGTTTGAAGTGCATACATCTGAAAAAGCTACAGAAGCATGGATCATCCATATATGCTTAACATAAATAAGCTGATTCTCATTAAGAAAGAAGAAAGAAAGAGTTTGGATTTGATATCCCGCCTTTCACTCCCCTTCAGGAGTCTCAAAGCGGCTAACATTCTCCTTTCCCTTCCTCCCCCACAACAAACACTCTGTGAGGTGAGTGGGGCTGAGAGACTTCAAAGAAGTGTGACTGGCCCAAGGTCACCCAGCAGCTGCAGGTGGAGGAGCGGAGACGCGAACCCGGTTCCCCAGATTATGAGACTACCGCTCTTAACCACTACACCACACTGGCTCTCAACTAAAGACCACTACACCACACTGGCTCTCAATTAAAGTCTGCTCAAACAGATTTTATTGGGAAAATTATGATGATCCTTTCCTAGCATTGCTTTTCTGTATGTATGGAACCACAAGACCACTTTAAAAATCTCATAAGCCCAAAATATTATGTCAATACAAGGAAAGTCCAATCTTCAATTACTACCATGCTTTTCTCAAAAGGTGGGGGAACCTTAAGAAAGACATCTCCAGGTAAGCTCAGAAATGGACAGGTTTGTACAGGAGTAGGCAGTCCTTAAGAAAGCCTGTAAAGCCCTTTATAGCTACAACGCTCAGCACTAAGCCTAGAAATGTATAAGGAACCAACAGAGCTCTTTTAGAACTGATGAGAGATCATCTCCCATAAAGTGTGTTGCAATGGGTCATTTTGGTTATAACTTTTCTCATAGAGAAAAGTGGTCAGGCTATCTTTGCCCAGGAGGATCACAGCATGTGCACCAGCTTAAGCTTGTAAAAAGAATTTTATACCACTGATATTTGCTTCTGCGTACAAAGTGAAGGCCATGGACTCACCACATCTGAAACTCTGATCTTCAGCCCTATTTAGAATCAAACCTCACTAGATTTGATGGAGGTGTTCTCAAATAAGTATAGAGGTATTCTTTTCAGTACAATGCACACAAGGCAGCAGCCCACCAATTTCTTCTCAAATTTCTGCTCCAAGGGTGGGCGTGGGGAGGTGAGCAAGGAAAAAAAGGGGGAAGTAGAGGAAAGAACTTTGATGGGATGGAGGAATGGGGCAGCTTTAAGAGGCATGAGGAACAGTTTGTCTACCTGTGATGCAGTGGTAGCCAGAGGGACAAATTAGAAGCCTATGGAACCCCACAGGATATATGCTATGGTGTGGAGCCATAGTCTTGCAGAACCACTTTCTGAACCTGACCCACCAGGTAGTAATAAAACAACTGTGCCATTCACTCTCATCCCAGCCAGGCAGTCCAAAAGGATGCTGTGGATGATGGCACCAAAAGCTTCAAAAAGGTCCAGGAGAATTCGTAGCGGCAAACTCACCTTGATCTCCTTGCAAAGCTAATCCATTTGGATAACTAAAGTGGTTTCTGTACAGAACCCATCCAAAGTGGCAGCTCTGTAGTTCAATGGTACAACACATGATTTGCATGCAAAATCCCTTCTACCTCCAGGTAGAACAGGGGAGTTCTCGTTTCTGTAATCTTGGAGAACTGCTAGTAGCCAATGCAGACAATACTGAACTTAAGGACCAATGGTATGGCTCGGTATAAGGTGGCTTATGTTTGTTTGACATTAATTAAAACTTGGAAATTCACAAATCCTCCACAGACACTAATAAAAGCCCACATAAGAAGTCAGGATAAATTAGGAAAAGTGATATAGACCCTGTCCTTCCAGATCTGAACACTGGTATTTTACCCATTGTGAAGGGATCTTAAATCTTCCATTTTACCTGAGTGAATCCAAGTTTGATCCGTCTTTGTTTGAAAGTCTTGGCAAATTGCTCAAGCTCCTCAAGATCACTGGGCTCTTCCAAGCTGGGGGTATCAATTCGCTTTGGTGTTGACTGGCTCTGTGGAAGTGGCTGAATAGGGGTCGCTGCTATTGTGCGTGTTGGGGTTGCTGGCTGCTAAGAAATATAAGAAAGCAAAGAGTGAAGTCAGAAAACATATAGAAATAAAAGCATGGCTAAGAAAAAAAGTATGGCTTTTCTTGGTAAATGCTAGTCTCCACTATTTTCTAGCATACGCATTGTATTTTAATTACATGCAACTCTAAAATAGGTATTGCAATCTAGAGTATTCTCAAAGGAAATTTTATTCAACAGAGCAATTCTTTTAAAAGGACAATAAAAACAAAGGTGTCTCCTGATCCTTTAATTTTTCTGCTTAAGAATGAAGTACACTTTCTCCCAATTATTCTCACTATGCAAAAAAGAGAATGACTGAACAAAGCAAAGGGGTGAGTGGGAAGAGTAAAGTCCCAAAAGTCCAAAACAGCTCCAGAAAGAGTTTATGGCTTTTCTGCTATAAAGCTTTTTAGCAAGTGACAAAGTGTTATCAGGTGGACTTAGGACTGGTTCAGAAGTTGCATCTAAGCACAATTCCTATTCTGACAGTAGCTAGACTTCTAATCACTGCTTTCCAGATGCGTTAATACATTTTCCAGTAATTTCTTGATACGTAAAATATAGCATGACACATACACACTGTGCTCAACATTTTCCAGCGCAAGTGCAAAGGTTTTTAGAATATGTCAACAATCTCTTAAGTGAGAGGTAGCCACCAGTTCATTGTCTCTCTAGAATAATAAAATGGACAACTTTTGCTATGCACCATGGCCTGAATTCTCTCATCCTACCACCACCAAGTAGGAATAAGAAAATTTATCGAAAACTGACCTGAGAAGTGAAAGTGATGCTTGGCTGAGACTGCAGGAGGTTGGCTTGGCTTTGCTGAGGTAGTTGCGTTAAGAGATTCTGCGCTTGCAGGAGACCTGAAAGAGAGGAGACATGAATTTTAAAAATTACATAAATGCTATTGATCAAACTGATTTACTGCAGTATGGTGTCTTATGGGCACAGACCATATAGCTCCTTAGTATTTTATGCAGAAGTCTGCTGAAGGAAATCTATTTCAAGTATATCATTTCCCAAAAAACAATGGAACTGAACTGCTTACTGGGCTCTGGGAAGCTCTTGCAAGATCTACCAAAAACCAGTAAGCAAGTCTTACAGCTCAGAAGCTCTTTCTGCACTGGGAAAACGCTGTGTAAAAAGAGCTTTTAAGCTCCTGCCTTCTGTGCTTTTAATTTGTGTGATTTCAACTGACCAGCCTTCAACCGGGCAAAGTTGAAATCGTTAAACGTCCATAAGTTACCCGTATTCAGAGGAGAGAGGGATAGAAATAGGCATTGAGAGTGCAGGGGCACATGATAGCAATTCAAAGGTTTGAAGCACTGTAGGGTAACACATATGCTGAAGACACTATGTATAAGTATTTATATGATAATGCTAGAAGACAAGCTAAGTTAGATGACAGAATAGATACAGTAGGTATAATGGAAACTTGGTGGAATGGAGAGTGCCAGTGGGACATGATGATCTCTGGATACAGACTCTATACATGGTCTAGAACTGAGGCTGCTCTGTTTAACAGAGAGAACACAAGTCCAACAAGCTAGAAACCCCAAAAGGGGCAGGTTCCTTCACAGAAATGGGAGGGGGGGGCATTATACAGCTCCCAAAAGTAATTTAGCACTGAGGATCCCCCTGACCAAAATGCCCAGGGTAATCTTGAAATAAAGGATTAAATCAAGGAGGCATCCAAATGAGAAAATGCTACAGTAATGGGAAATTTCAGTAACCCACGCATATAATGGGCTACATGCATTTTCTAGTAATAAAAAAGAAATAAAATTTCTAGATATCCTAAATGACTGTTTCCTAACAGGTGGTCATTGTACCAACTAGAGGGGTGGCAAGCCTAGACTTAGAACTTAAGCGAAACTCAGGACCAGGTGGAAGATGTGTTAAGCAGATTGGAAACAATTACCGCAGTGCTATCAAATTCAACATACATTTAAATTGCCAAGAAAATCCAACACAGTCACATTTTATTTCAAAGGAGGAAACTTTGCCAAAATAAGGTGATTGGTAAAATGGAAGCTGAAAGTCAAGAGGGACAAGTCTCTCCAGAATTCCCAGGGTTGTTCAAAACCACAATAATAGAAGCCTAGCTAGAATATATTCCACAGATCTGGAAAGGTACCACCAGGATCATTAAGATGCTGGTGTGGTAAAGAGCAGAGTCAAGGAAGCTATCAGAGGCAGGAAGGATTCCCTCAGAAAATGGAAGTCTAGTCCAAAAGAAAGGCAGACAGACCAATAAATAATAAACCAATGAAACCAATAAATGATAAAAACAAGGATTGACAAAAATTATTTAATTACAGTCAAAGCAGGTGACTGCATAGGGAGGTAGTCAGGCCTTTGGATGACAAAAGAGCCAAATATGTGCTAAACGAGTAAAAGGAGATTGCAGAGGAGCTGAATCAATTATTTGTCTTCACTGTGCAAGATGTAGGGAAGACACCTGCGCCTGAATAAACTTGCATGGAGTTTTTTTTTAAAGAAGAAGAAGAAGAAGAAGTGAGGCAAATGGTGGTGACAAGTTCTAGGTCTTTTTCACAAATTAGAAACTGAAAAATCATCTGGTCCAGATGGCACCCAAGAGTTTTGAAATGTGAAATTGTTGAACTTATAACAAAAATATGAAAACTGTCAATTAACCTCCATACCTGAGGACGCGGAAGTGGATTTTTAAAAAAGGATCTGGGGTGGGGTTGGGGTTCCTGGGAAACTGCAGGTCAATTATCTTAACATCTGTTCCACAAAAACTGGTGGAAAGAATTGTTATGCCTTGCTGAAGCAGAACCAGAATAGTTTCTGCAAGGGCAAGTCCTGTGTTATTAAGTTCTCTCTTTGAGTATCAACAAGCATATAGGAAGAGGTGTTCCAGTTGACATGCTGTCTTACTACCTCAAAAGTTGACTTAATAATTTCAAAAAGCTGCAGGTAAGTATCTCACCCAAGACTCCTGAATAAACTTAGCAATCATGGAGTAAGAGAAGTCCTCTTATGGATCAGGAATTAGTTAAGAAACAGAAAGCAGAGTAGGAATAAATGGACAGTTCTCCCAATGCAAGGATGAAGAAAGTGAAGGCCAACAAGGATTGAGGCCTTTGCTTTTTACTTTTTAATGACCTGGAGTTAGGGGTGAACAGTGAGGTAGCCAAGTTTGCTGACGATACCAAATTGCTGAGCTCCAAAAGGATCTCTACAAACTGGGTGAAAGAGCAGTAAAACGGCAAATGCAATTTATTGTAAGCAAGTGTAAAATGATGCACATTGGGGCAAATTTTTACCCCTCATTTAACATATAGGCTAATGGGGTCTGAAATGGCAGTGACTGACCAGGAATGAGACCTTGAGGTTGTAGAGGGTAACTCGATGAAGATGTTGACCCGACCCAGTGTGCGGCAGCTGTGAAAGAGGCGAATTTCATGTTAGGGATCATCACGAAAGGGACTGAAAATTTAACTGCCAATATCACAATGCTGTTATAACAAATATACGGGGAGACTACACTTGGAATACTGTGTACAGTTTCTGGTCACCTCCCCTCAAAAAGGATACTGCACAGCTGGGACAAAAAATTCAGAAAAGAGGGAACTAAAGTGATCATGGGGTTGGAGTAACTCCCCTGAGGAAACATAAAGGGATTTTAAGTTTAGGGGGGAAAGATGAGTGGTGGGAGTGGGGACGTGAGAGCGGTGCATAAGATTAGGTGTATCATGGAAAAAGTGGCAGGCAGAAAACTCTCCCTATTATATAGTACTAGAACTCAGGGGAAGTCAATGAAGCTGAATGTTGGAAGATTCAGGACAAAAGAAAGTATTTCTTCACATAGCGCATAGTTTAAACTATGGTATTCGCTCCCACAAACGTAGTGATGGCCACCAACTTGGATGACTTTAAAAGAGGATTAGACAAATTCATGGAGGACCAGGCTATCAATGGCGTCTAGCCACGATGGCTATGTTCTAACTCTACGGTTGGAGGCAGTATGCCTCTGAATATCAGTTGCTGGGAATCGCAGGAAGAGAGAGTGGTGTTGCACTCAGGTCCTGCGTAGGGGCTTCCCATAGGGATCTTGTTGGCCACTGTAAGAACAGGATGCTAGATTAGATGAGTCTTTGGCCTGATCCAGAAGAACTCTTCTTATGTTCATTACAATCATGACACTCGAAGCACTCTAGCAACTGCAGAAAAGGTGGGACAGAATTTTTGTAAATGAATTTTTGTAGCTTAAGGTTTTAACCCAAATAAAGGCATATAGGGAAAAGAGGTGTCCTGTATACTCACTATTTCAAAACTGTCAAAAAAAGAAAAAAAGAGTACTATATTAAAGAAGGGAAAGGATAAGGATTCCTGAGAAGCCATGCCTGCATACTTATTGGACTTCTGCTCATGCGATGGATATATTCACCCAGATGGTCCCTACTCTATAGTAACAAACATCTTCCCTAAAATTTACACGCCTGAGTATTAAATACCTCTGGTTGCTTGTTTGCCTGCAACAAAAGATCTTTATAAAGAACTTAAGTCCTTTAGGAAACGTCTTGCTCACCCTGCTGCCCCTGCGGCGTCTGTGAGATGATGAACTGTGCTGGTTGCAAGTTGGTTGTTGGATGCACCAACACAAACTGTTGCAGGTTGAGATTCTGTTGTTGGAGCTGCTGCAGGTGCTGCAAATCCTTGAAGAAGCAAAACGGAATTAAGAGTTTTTCAAACTTAAACAGTCATTCCCTACCCTTCAAAAGCAAAACAAACCCATTAGGAAAAGAACCATGATCCAAAATTCTTACTCTGCAAACACAGGGCATCTGAATTTAATAGCACATAAAAAAATGAACATATACTAATTCATAGAATCATAGAATGACCTGGAAAAAGTTGCTAACGCAAAGGAACAACAGCAAAGTATTGATTTAAGGATGTAGTCCTCCTCTTGAGGTTTTCAGCATATCATCAATTTCACTAATAGAAACAAAATTTTAGCATCAGCAAATGTTGAAGTTTTAGGCTGCCACGGAGCTCTGCTTGTCCCCAGGCTCCTTCAGTTTTTGTATCTGCCCTCCGCAGGTGATGGCGGCTTTGGTAGGAAATGACTAGTGCAGCCATCAACAGCCCACCAGGCTCATCAACCCTGCTCATAAGGAGACCTGCTGGAATTTTATGCCAGCTGCATCATACAGGCAGAGGGATGCTACTGGAAATCTGCCTTTGCTTTCTCATACATCCGCTTCCAGGCAAGCAGCAGCTACAAAACAGTGGTGAGAGAAAGTACATACCATCTCCTTCCTCTTGGCCCTAGTCTGCCCCACCCACAGAAGTGGATCCCACAATTGTTTATGTGGGGACATGTTCATCATATGGGAGGGGGAGGGGAAGTAAACATGGAACAATATGGTGTCTGGGCAGTAATCAACCTCAATCTATGGCCATGTTTCACACATCAGAGAATTAACTCTCGGAATCCTACTGACTTGATGGCTTTTGCAGGTCTGGTAAGAAGCCAACAGACTCAAAACACTAGACCATTGTACCACCATGATAAAAAAGAGATAGCAAGAACTTGAGTGGTAAGAACATATTATGAAAAATGAAAAACAATTTCCTCGCAGCACGCTAAATTGTGTTTTGTTATGTACCTTATATCCATCAGGATGTGGTATAATTTGTATTAGCTCTGTAAACTGCCTTACCAGTAGGTGAACAGAGAGCTATAAACACTACTATATAAATGTTAGGAAAAAACCCTGCTAGCATTTATTCCATTTATTCATATTCTCACAGAAGATTTCTTGCGATGATCGCAGCTAGAGTTGTGTGTGCAAAATCAGTTAAATATAATGATGTGTCTGAAACGGAGATCAGGTCAGTGAATCAATTATTCAAGAACAGGGCTATAAAAACAAACAATTATTTGGATAATGTATTTATAATAGTAATCCAAACAAGCTAAGCAGGGCTCTGTTGTAAGCGATTGATGAAGTCCATGTACTCCAATTTGCAGTGGAAAAAGTGACGGACTTCATATATATATATATATATATATATGCAGGTTTTGGTGTCCTCGGGTGTCTTCCCATGTAAAAGTTGGGGTGTCTAGGCGACGTTTCGACGAGGTCTCACTCGTCATCTTCAGGCTGGTGCTTTCGGCTTCTTGTTACTGGAACAGAGCAGGATCTCAGTGTTTGAGTTCCTATAAATACTGTTGAGGAGGTGTGGTGTATAGCCTCCAATGTTCTGGGCAGAGAGGAAGTTCCCAGGCTAGTGTGCCTTTTCTTCTTTTGTTCCTTAATTACTTGAGGGATATCTTGAGTGATTTCTTGAGTGATATCCTGAGTACCACTTAGGTGGGTCATTAGGTGTGGATTAGTTGCTAAAGCCTTCGTGTTTTTCTGAGAAGATGGCTGTACTGCACTTAGTTGTGCTCTGGCTTGGCTTCGTGTATAGGGGCGAGATGTGGTTTTGTGGCTTGTGCCAGCCAGATCTGTGTAGGGATTGCAGGGGGGTGCAGCATCCGGAGGTGCCAACATGGTTTGGCTACTGGATGGTGTCTGTAATTTATCTGTGGAGAGGGTCTGGGTTTGGGTCTGGTATGGTTGATTGGTGATGGCGTTCTGTGTGCCTCTGGATCTGGTGTCGGTTTTTGTGGGGAGGGCTAATTTCCAGATGTCTGGCAGGCGGGATGTGTCGTCACGCTTGTTCATGTTGTGAGGGTGTTTCTCTATCTCGATGGCTTCCATGATTATTCTCTTGTGGTGATGTTCCATGTTAAAGAGCAATTTGGAGTCTGCAAAATTAATTTCGTGTCCTGTTTCTTTCATGTGTTGGAAAAGAGAGGAAGTTTTTTCTTCTTTTTTGACGGCATTCTTGTGTTCTGCGATGCGTGCATTTATTCGTCTGTTTGTTTGTCCAATGTACGTGGCTGGGCAGACTTTGCAGGGTATTTCATAGACCCCTTGGTTTTCTAATTGGATTTTATCCTTGGGGTTTCTGAGGATATTGGCTATTTTTTGGTTGGTGCAAAAGGCTGTTTTGATATTGTGTTTATGGAGGATTTTGCTAATTTTATCTGTAGTGCCCTTGATATAAGGAAGGAGGGCCATGCCATTGTTTTCTTCTGTGTCTTGGTTTTTGGGGGGTGTTTCTTTTTGGATTAGCTTCGTAACCCTGTTTTGCTGGTATCCATTGGCGATTAACACATTTGAGAGATTCTGTAACTCAGTTGTCAAGTGGTCTTTGTCAGCCAGGCGTTTGGTTCTGGAGATGAGAGTCTTGGCTACGGAGTTTATTTGTGCAGGGTGGTGGTGTGATTGTGCATGTAAGTAGCGGTTGGTGTGTGTTTTTTTCCGGTAGATAGTGTGTCCTAGGGAGCCATCAGGTTTTTTGTAGATTAGGACGTCAAGGAAGGGAAGTTGGTTGTTGGCTTCTATTTCCATAGTGAATTGTATTTTGGGGTGTAGGCTGTTGAGATGTGTGAGGAAGCTATCTAGTTTTTCCTTCCCGTGTGGCCAAATTACAAAGGTGTCGTCAACATATCTGAGCCAAAGTTTGGGTTTGTGTTCTGACTTGTCTAAAGCATTGGTTTCAAAGTGTTCCATGTACAGGTTAGCGATGACCGGTGAGAGGGGTGATCCCATAGGTGCTCCTTCTATCTGTTTGTATCTTTGTCCATTGTGGATGAAGTACGTGTTGGTTAGGCAGTGTTTGGTCAGGTCCAGGATGTATTCGGGGGGATTGTATTTGTTTTGAATGGCTGTCAAGGCTTCATTAATGGGCACTTGTGTGAAGAGAGATACAACATCGAAGCTCACAAGTAGGTCATTGGGATGTAGGTTTTGCTTCTTTATTGTTTCTATGAACTGGAAGGAGTTTGTAACGTGTGAAGAGATGGATTCTGCATAGGGCTGAAGTTGCTTAGCGAGAAATTTAGCGAGATTTTGTAGAGGTGAGCCTATGGAGCTGACTATTGGTCTGAGTGGTGTTCCTTCTTTGTGTATCTTGGGGAGGCCGTAGAGTTTGGGGCATCTGGATGATTTTTCTCTGGGGATGATTCTTAGCTGGATTTCTTCACTGATAGGAGAGGCTTTTGAAGATGACGAGTGAGACCTCGTCGAAACGTCGCCTAGACACCCCAACTTTTACACGGGAAGACACCCGAGGACACCAAAACCTGCATTCCTGTACCCGTGAAAATCTACGAAAGCATATATATATATATATATATATATATATATATATATATATATCAGCAACCCTATAAGGTAGGTTAAGGTGACACGTAAGGAAGTGGTCCTAAGTGACCCAATGAGTAGGTAACTGAACTCAGGTCTCCCAGGTTTAATTATAATACTACACTGGCTCTCAACTTTCATTTTTGCTCCTTGTGACCATGGTCTACCAGAATTATTAACTATACTTATAGGCCACTCAAAAGCAGAGTTCACATGGAGACTTGCAACTAGAAATAAAATAATTAAAAATTCATTAGCAATGCGCAGCATACAAGTCCAAGAAATTTAACTTTACATTGATTTCATATACATCTCAAAGTGATTCATACCATACACTAAAAATCACTAAGAATAGGCTTAAAAACAATATAAAGGTAAAGGTAAAGGTACCCCTGCCCGTACGGGCCAGTCGTGTCTGACTCTAGGGTTGTGCGCCCATCTCACTTATAAAAACAATATACAAATCAACTAAAGATAGGCAAGAAACCTAGTTCCCATCCCTACTCACACCCAGCTGGAAAAGCTTGTTGAAACAAGAATGTCTTCAATTGTTTCTGGAAATTACAAACAGAGGGCACCTGCTGTATCTCAACAATGATCCTGTTACACAAACAGTCACACTGAAAACCCTGCAACATATTGTCATGGCTAGAACTTCTGATATTTTTAGGGTTTCAAGAACAGCCCCAATTGCAAAGAAATAACTTGCTGGGCATATGGAGGGTAAGGCAGTCTCTCAAATAACTTGGACCAGAGATGCTTAGGGCCTTATACATTAGTACAGAAATCTTTATTGGCTGCCTGGACTGGAAGCAGCTTGGCAGCCAATGCAGATTCCAAAGACAAGGAGATATATGCTGGCAGTAGTCTGCCCCCACGAATTGGAGCATACTTCCAAGCATCTTGTTTATGTCGGCAGGCTGCAAAAACTGAAACTGATCTCACAAAAAGGCTTAGTGGATGACTGGAAATCTCACTTGGAGCTGCATAAATCATGGAATCAAGCACATTATGGAGGTGAGTGACTTCATTCTCTAAAGTGTCTAGAAAGCAAAAGTCCCTGGGGGCTCCTGAGCTCCATTCACTAGTACAGGAGTCCAGAGCCAACAGACCACTCTGAAGAACTCTGCTATGTAGTTATTCAATGGTGCAATGGAGACAGTGAAGTAGGCCCTCCTTGCTGCTTTCACTACTGCAAAGTAGGCATGATTATGTGCTCTAACACAGCATTTGAGAGGATGCTCAGAAGGAACCATATCTATGGCCCTCCACATCTCACCATTCCCCAGTGAAACGAGGGCCTTGGCAGGTTTGCCTTGTTTCACCCATCAGAAAATACCTATCGCATTCAGGAATCCCTAAGTGGTCCACCCTAATTGGTCCTCCACCCCTGCAGGGGGGAACTGGTGTCAGCTCAAGCTTCACCAGGAAGTGGTCTGATGATGACAAAAGGGGCACAGAAACACCTCCTGATTTCCAGGCATCCAACCTCACCACCAGGAACAAAAACTAAATCAGGAGTGTGTTCTGCATTGTGTGTCAGGTCAATGATCACTGGAAACAACCCCACGGTTGCCATGAAGTCCTGAGTTGGATCAAGAACCAAACTGCAAATGTGAGTCTCGTTCAGATTTAACAGCCGAATCATGGTTTGGTTCTTGTGAACAGCTTTGTGCCCACAACCTCCCTTCAATGTCCTCTCTCATTTCTGGGTTTGAAATACTACATTTTATTACCAAACCAGAATTAGAAACTCATTTCAAACCATGGTTGTCTCCAAACCAGAATGGGGAAATAATGGTTTGCATAAACTTTAATTTACCCACTTTGGATGTCACACCAAATTGTTGCTTGCAAAAATCAGGAAATGAGGAAAGCAAGTGGAGTGGAAAGAGCAAGTGCTCAAATGTAAAAACTGTTTATAAGAGCCAGATTATTTGACCTGAATGTTGCCATGCCTGCATTTTATAAAAGGAAACTTGTAGCTTTCAGTAACAGGGATGTGTGGTCTTTGGATATCAGAGGACCAAGCAGACTATGTTGCCAAGGTATTCAAAACACTGCCTTGTGAGCCCTTATTCAGTTGCACTGCGAACAAAAGAGTAACAAAAGAGACATATTAGGGCAGGCCAACATGATCAATGGTTCGAAAGACAAAGCTCACCTGTGCAATTTGTATCGGTTGAGATAGAGGGATTTGTGTCATGGGCGTTGCAGCAGAAGCTGAGATGGTGGCGCCTGCAGCATTGTGCTGCTGACTGGCTGAATGCTGCACTGCAGCAGCCAGCAACTGTGCCTGTGCCTGTTGTATCAATAATTGCTGCTGGGCTGGTGTTAACGTGAGCTAGGAACAAGTTTTAGGACAGTAGTTAATAGCACGAAACATCATCCCTTTTACAAACCATCGCTATTTATTTCTGACCAGTTGCCTTCAAACAAGCCACCGTATACAGGGAGCAGATGTTTATTCCAGGTAAGATAAAAATCAACCAATCTATCAACCTATATTTCACCTCATCTAAATGGTACTGGCATAAGCATTGTATCATTGTGACCACTGCATTATTGTGGCACTGCTTCAATATTAATGTGAAAAAGGTAATTAGCTAGCAAGCAATGGAAAGAAACAGCACTGACAGGAAATAGCAAGCAAAAGAACAAGCCATCACTGACAGGCTTTGAAAGGAAATTTACACCCACCAGAAGCAGAAGCGATTAGCCAGATGAATGAGAAATAGCAATACTGGCTGTGGTTACCAAACAAACTGATAATACTCCAGCTGCTTCACATTAGCATGAATCCCTGGCATGTTTCATCATTTCCATTATGCCTTAAGATATAACTGAGGAACATGTGCACCATTTGTTCCCCTCCAAGTCAACCCCCCTCTTCCGTCTGTCTTTTTGTTTTGATAGGATTGAGCTGGTAGGTTGACATCTCTGCAGGTTTCCAAACACACATTATCTCTATGAAACAGGTGGCGTTAGACTCCCTTTGATACATGAATATTCTTCCCTGTTTCTGTATAGAAAGAGCCCTTACCTTCAAAGACCTGGATCTAGTTTCAATGTAGCAAAGAGCAGTTAGGCAAAATGACATTTAATGTATTTGGACTAATTTTTACTGTATGCTTATACAAAAGTGCTATAAGTAAAAGCCATGAAAAAAACTGTATTCAGATTACAGTAAAAGCCCACTACATATGGAAAACAGCCATTTGTAGAGCTTTAAGGCGAAGGATCTGGCATAAATAGAAAACACGGCCAGTCAATATTGACAATACTAAGGTAGACAGACCACTGCTCTGAGTTGGTATAAAGCAGTTTTCTATATGTCTATAAATAGAACTAAATTCAAAGCAGTGTCATTTGATTTACATGTTACATATACCTTTCAGTGATAAATAATATAGGGAGAAAAGTCTCTGATTAACTGCATGTCTCAAATATTGAAAATAGCAGAAGTGATTTTTCAGTTTTTAGTCTCCCAAGTTGTTGTAGCATACTTTTTTTTGCAACTGAAAGAAACACTGATAGCTTACATAAAGAGTTCTCCATCCAATGAGAACTGTTAATAGCTGGATTTAAACCTCATTTTGTGTATGGAAAAGGAAATTTCAGCAAACATAAGAGTGTGGTTATATCAACAATAGCACTGTGGCAAAATGGTTGCTCAAATAGTCATAAATATGACCAAGACATTGTAACAGCGATACTAACTTCTTTTCCCTCTTCACTGTGACTAGGAGGTCACAGAAGAAAGCAAATATGGAGCAAGACAGGGGTCAGTAACCTTTTTCAGCCGTGGGCTGGTCCACCATCCCTCAGACAATGTGGTGGGCTGGACTATGTGTTCTTTTTTTGGGGGGGGGGGTTGAACGAATTCCTATGCCCCACAAATAACCCAGAGATACATTTTAAATAAAAGCACACATTCTACTCAGGTAAAAACACAATCATTCCTGGACCGTGCACGGGCTGGATTGAAAAGGCGATTGGGCCACATCCGGCCCATGGGCCTTAGGTTGCCTACCCCTGGAGCAAGACAAACACTCCCCCCACCCCCAAAACTAATCTAAAAGAAGAAATTTGCTATAATTTGTTGACTTCTTGAATCAACATACTGTGTTAAAAATCACCCTAATACTCATCAGGAAAGTAGAGAAATAGCATCTGATATGGTAGGTTTCATATTGTATATATCAACTTTCCAGATAGATTACACAGCGATAACCACTATATCAAAAATAAAATTACAGAATTTAAAAACTACTCCCCATCTACAATTGTATCAACTAATTTCTAATATATCAACCTGATTTCTAAAAGATAGTGGTGGCAGGATTAACAGAGTCTCCCTAGATAGAAAGTTCAAAGAAGGTAAGCTACAATAGAGAGGGTTCTACTTTTGCTCCTGAAGACAACTTTTCTCATGGCACGGGGACATAGCACAAGGTCTCCTCCTGCAAATCTCAAGAGATGTGGCAATTTCTCCAGATAGGCTGAACTCAGACAGTATAGGCCTAGAAGCAAACAGGTCCATGGACTGGGATATCATAATCCACAGCATCAAGTGCCACTGAGAGACCCATAAAACCAATAGGGAGATTTTCTCCGGCCACATTCCCCTGGAATGATAAAGCAACAATCTACTCTGTCTAATACAACAACATGAGTTGGTGGCTCATTACAATTCACTTGGACTCATCTTACCCCAGTGATCTGTCCTCCGGCCAGCATGAGCTGGGTCTGGGGTATGGCCGCCTGTACTGAAGGCTGCTGGGAAGGCTGGCTTGGCTGCTGACTGTCCCCAGATTCTTCATTAGGTTTAGACTAGGAAAGAAAATATACAAGCTTTTGTAGAACAGAATGGGTATCAATGTGGACACAGCCATTTTCATAGTTTATTGTAATATGAAGAGGGATGATATTAACAAGATTTTCGGTTATCAGTAAGATAAAAAGCTGCTTATTTCAACAACTTGTTTTCATAGGTAACTGTAGATAACAGGTGGGGGGAAGAAATGCAAATTTGGTATTGTAGCCGTAAGCCAATATTTCCACGTATCAGAATGGAAGAAAAAAACGCTGCTGTTACAGTGGTGCCTCGCAAGACGAAATTAATCCGTTCCGCGAGTCTCTTCGTCTTGCGGTTTTTTCGTCTTGCGAAGCGCGGCTATTAGCGGCTTAGCGGCTATTAACGGCTTAGCGGCTATTAACGGCTTAGCGGCTATTAACGGCTTAGCGGCTTTAAGAAGAAGGAAACAAACTCGCAAGAACTCACAAGACGTTTCGTCTTGCGAAGCAAGCCCATAGGGAAATTCGTCTTGCGGAATGACTCAAAAAACGGAAAACCCTTTCGTCTAGCGAGTTTTTCGTCTTGCGAGGCATTTGTCTTGCGGGGCACCACTGTACTTCAAATCATTAACAAAAACGGGGCTCGATTGTAGCTGGAGAGACACACAGGGCCTCCAGACACAGGGCCCCCTCAAAACACATATACATATGTTCAAGAAAATTTCCTATTTAGTGCTTGATTTGAAGACACGGCCTTTAAAGTTTTAAGCTTTCCCAGTCATTGCCATACTACAGACAGATCTGCACACACTTGTACCAAACTGCCCAATTCCTAGTCAATGTGAAACTCAGTAATCAGTAGCATGCAAGTTTTGGATTAGTGCAGTAGATTTTTCTTTTATACATTTTTTGATAATTCATAAACATAGTATTTCAAACTAAACAAGGTATTAGCTTGAAAAACTTTAGATGCTGAATTGCATCCGGAACAAAAACAAACACTCACCATACATCTTGTCTCTAAGAAACAGAATTTGGTATTTATATAGGCAAACACATTTCATTTATTTAAAACCATCTTATGAAAGATGAAATTACTGTAGCCATGAGGGAAAAATGCAAGTGAGAAAGCACATGAAAAGGAAAAACAAGGAGAGGGGGTTTATGGTAATTAAAACTGCTTATGCAGAACATTAAAATTCTGCATAGATTTGCATATTTTCTACCACCTGTTTTGGGGACTGCAGAGCAGGCTAATTAACATAGAGGCTCTGATTAATTCTGCCAGTCATTGAGAGATAATTACAGCACAGGACTGTAAACATTCTGCACTGGAGATATAGCCTGTTTGCCAACATCTCTCTCAGGGACTCAAAGTTTGCCATGGCAACCAAGGCAATTTTCAGCCTCTCTCTTTTAGAGAGGAAGGTCACTATCTCGCCTCCTTTCAAAATTATCATATGTAACTAGGTGCATGTTCTAGGGGGTTTCAAGAATGCTCTACCCTAGTTCCTTAGCACTCCTAGAGAATGACGCCACTTCACAATAATACTATTTTCCTTCCCCTTTGATGCATTGCCTGAATATTTTAATGAAAGGCAGCAAGCAGTAGATTATAACGCTTTAAGGCATCCTACACCTTCCAGTCGGGATTCAGGCCTCATCATAGGACTGAAACTGCCTTGGTCGCACTGATCGATGATCTCCGGCAAGCTAGGGACAAAGGTGAGAGCTGTTCCCTACTTTTGCTGGATCTCTCAGCAGCTTTTGATATCATTGACCATAACATCCTTCTGGACTGTCTAGAGGGGCTGGGAGCTGGGGGCACTGTTATACAGTGGTTCCGCTCCTTCCTCTTGGACCATGTTCAGAAAGTGGTGGTGGGGGATGAGTGTGGGGTGCCTCAGGGTTCTGTCCTCTCCCCCATGCTTTTCAACATCTACATGCAGCTGCTGGGAGAGATCACCAGGGGGTTTGGACTGGGTGTTCATCAATATGCGGATGATACCCAGTTCTACCTCTCATTCAAATCGGAACCAGTGAAGGCAGTGAAGGTCCTGTGTGAGTGTCTGGAGGCGGCTGGAGGATGGATTGTGGCTAACAGATTGAGGTTGAATCCTGACAAGACAGAAGTACTGTTTTGGGGGGAAAGGAGGCGGGCGGGTGTGGAGGACTCCCTGGTCCTGAATGGGGTAACTGTGCCCCTGAAGGACCAGGTGCGCAGCCTGGGAGTCATTTTAGACTTGCAGCTGTCCATAGAGGCGCAGGTCAGTTCTGTGTCCAGGGCAGCTGTCTACCAACTCCACCTGGTATGCAGGCTAAGACCCTACCTGCCTACGGACTGCTCGCCAGAGTGGTGCATGCTCTGGTTATCTCCTGCTTGGACTACTGCAATGAGCTCTATGTGGGGGGTACCTTTGAAGGTGACCTGGAAACTACAACTAATCCAGAATGCGGCAGCTAGACTGGTGACTGGGAGAGGCCACCAAGACTACATAACACTAGTCTTGAAAGACCTACAATGGCTCCCAGCATGTTTCTGACAGTTCCCTCACTGCGAGAAGCCAAGTTACAGGGAAGCAAGCAGATGGCCTTCTCGGTAGTGGCACCCACCCTGTGGAATGCCCTCCTACCAGATGTCAAAGAGAACAAGAACTACCAGACTTTTAAAAGACATCTGAAGGCAGCCCTGTTTAGGGAAGCTTATACTGTTTGATGGATTACTGTATTTTAATATTTTGTTGGAAGCAGCCCAGAGTGGCTGGGGAAACCCAGCTAGATTGACAGGGTATAAATTATTTATTATTATTATTATTATTATTATTATTATTATTATTATTATTATTATTATTATGCTTAAGCAGTCAGCTGCATCTTGCAGAGAACAGAAGAGCAACCAATTTCAGATTTTAACTATAAATCTTTATTATTATAAAGAAAAACCCGAAGTGATTAAAGTAAGGCCATGCTGACCATCTTATTTCAGCTCCAACTCTTGGGAGTTTTTCAAACATCTTTTAATGTCAAACAGGACTTCTGTACTGAACAACATTTGTTAATGGCTGCCAAACTCTCCCATTGGTACTGCAAAAAGAAAAGTAGAAAGAAAAAAAGGTTGATGCAGATGCAAAAGCACTTACCTGTACATTTAAGGACTGGGCAGCAGCCTGTAAACTTGATCCAGGGAGCTGAACCTATAAAAATGATGTACTTTTAAAAACACAAAACTGGAGAGAAGTAAAATAGCTGAAAAAGAAAGTATCTCTAGTTTTCAAAACACCTAAGACCACTGAGATAATTAGAATTTTAAAATATAATGCATTGATTCTGATCTAATGCCAGAACATGGTTTGCCCTAACTATAGCTTATACTCCAAATGATAATTTGCATTCCAGAGGTTCAGACAAACAATTATTTGGGGTTACTTTCTCCTCCTGCCTTTCCCAAGAACCCCCAGATATTATTCAAACAGTGGTCTCTTCAAAGATCCTTTAGTAAAAGGCAAAGGATTTATACAATCTGAAGAGACACCAGAGTATATGAACTTTTCAAAAATCCTGGTTTGTTGGACATTCACAAACCATGGATTGATGGCTGGTGGTGCTACAGGCATCATGCCAAGCCATGGTTTGGCAAGGTATCTGAACTATCCTGCCCCACTTTAAATCTTTAGGTGGAATCTTAACTTTGAATGTCAGTTTTTTACAAACAGAAAACTTTTGGGAGTAGCCACAGTTTATCCAGATATTGAAGGTGCAAAGTCAAGTGAGAAAAAAGGAATGCAACTTTTATGAAAAGGTATTCCAAAACAGATATGTTGTTAGTCTGCACTCCATGAGCTGTGACACAGTACTAATTCAACACTACCTTTTGCATAACCTAGGCAGAATAACAATACAAGGAAGTGTTATGCCATGTCTTCAAATGGTTCCTACATTTCTGGGTTTGGTTTCTACAAGATTACAACATGCCATCTGTCACCAAGCAGGCAATTTGTCTCCAAAAAAGCTCCTATCTCCAGTGCCAACATCCAGTTTAATCTTCTGCCCTGTAGTATTCTGAGATAGCAACCATATTAATTAGAGAAAGGCTTCCAAAGCATCATCATGCACAGCTGTCTTAGAGAATTGGCTAGGTTAATAAACTACCAGTTTTTGGCCTTTTCAGCTCTTTTTGCAGCATAAGCTTATGAACAAAGGCCTCTTAGGTACTGATTGCAAAGGCCTAAAAGCCCATTTTAACCAAAGCCTGAGCTGAAGTTGCTCCAAAGCAAAAACTTTCTGCTGTAAATAGTGCCTTGGAAAAAAAAATACTGCACAGGGATGAAATGATAAGGTGACTCTGGCTTGTTTTACCATGGGAAACTGCCAACTCAAGATAAACATATAAACACAGTAGCCACTTCAAAGTTCAAGATTCATTATACCCTGGCACTTGAGATTTAAGAAATATAGCATGCTAAAGTCAAAGACAAAGACAGCTGTATGTTATCTTTTAGAATTTTTTGATAAAGAGATGAACGAAGTATTAAGTAAAAGTAGTGGCTGAATCAGAGAAGCTTGAGAAAATAGAACAACTTTCAGTAAATATGTGTTGCTGCCTTTGAAAACTCTATAGCTATTGGCCATAAGGAGACTAGCTTCAGCTGCTCGACATGAACGCTGCTCAGGGTTTAGCTGCTCAGGGGTACAGAAGGTTTACAAACGGCCTTTTAAGTTTCAAAATTAGTCAACATGCAAGAATTAGGGGCAGAGGGTGGTGTACACTCTTGACAGGCAGATGTTTGGTCGAGAGGGTCAAACCGTTGGGTCAACTGTTGGACTGTGCATGAGTGATAATGATATGTGAAAGGCATGCATGAATAGTGTTATAGAATCAAAGAACTGCAGAATTGGCAAGGACCCTGAGGTTCATCTCTTCCAACCCCCTGTGATGCAGGAATAATACACGACAGATGACCACCCAACTTCTGCTTTAAAATTTCCAAGGAAGGAGAGTCAACCACCTCCTGAAAAAGTCTGTTCCGCTGTCCAACAGCTCCTACTGTCAGAAAGTTTATCCTGATGTTTAGTTGGAATCTCATTTCTTGTAACTTCAAGCCATTAGTTTGGGTCCTAACTACTTTAAAGGTAAAGGTACCCCTGCCCGTACGGGCCAGTTGTGTCTGACTCTACGGTTGTGCGCCCATCTCACTTAAGAGGCCGGGGGCCAGCGCTGTCCGGAGACACTTCCGGGTCACGTGGCCAGCGTGACGAAGCTGCTCTGGCGAGCCGGCACCAGCGCAGCACACGGAAACGCCGTTTACCTTCCCGCTAGAAAGCGGTCCCTATTTATCTACTTGCACTTAAGAGTGCTTTCGAACTGCTAAGAGTGCTTTCAAACTACTTTAGCAGGGGAAAACAAGCTTACTCCATCTTCCTTTATATATTTGAAGATAGCTATCATATCTGTTCTCAGTCTCCTCTTTAGCAGGCTAAACAGATCCAGCTCCCTCAATTGTTCCTCATAAAGCTAGGCTTCCAGACCATTTATCCTCTTGGTCTCCCTCTTCTGAACATGCTTGTGCATATTATGGCCATCATGTCAGCATCACCATTCACCAGCCTATCTACTTTCCTCTTTCTACACACACATGCACGGGGACACACACACACACACACACACACAAAATGCAAGCACACTGCACATTAAGGAACATTATAGGAATCAAGGCAAGTATAGAAAGATGAAAGAGTGAGACTATGCAAATATTTTCTTTTATTTATTTTTATTCCCCAAGGCTGCTAAGCAGCAGCAGCAACAATGGAAGCAACATAATAAAGCACACAATTTATACAGCAGCATCAAGCAGCACAGCAAATAAATTTTAAATGATGCGAAGAAAAATATTTCACTACTCAAACCTAAGTGCAATGAAATTGCATTGGCTTTATTAGTGGCTCTTAATACAATAACCAGCACTTTTAAAATGGGCTTTGAAATGAACTGGAAGCCAATAAAGCAGAAGTTACCTGGGGCGGGGGGAAACCTCTGGTATTTTGCACCAACTGATTTCTGAATACTTTTTCAAAGGCAGCCCCATGCCAAATGCAAGTAACGCAATATGAAAGTGATTAAGGCACACCTGACATGTGTAGAACATAGCTAGATCTGCTTTCAAATGGTTCCTACTGACTTCAAATCAGGCAGATAAGCTGAAGTCTCAGTGTCGGTTAATAAGGGATCATATCTGACCTCTTAAGACACTGGAACCAGCAGGAAACATGTTTTTATCTCTGTGGTGTTTCGCCTTCATGGTATCCATAAGTTCATACCCTTCTTTTCTACTGTATTTATTTATTGCATTTATATACTGCTTTTTGACCAAGCTGCCCAGGGTGGTTTGCAATTTAAGATATTAAACATAAGCAAGCAGTACAAAATATTCACAGGCTGACTTTGGGAGCAGATGCAACTATCTTCTTGGCCTGGGTTTCCTGTCTGATGCTTTCTCTCAGGGCAATGTTCCCTAGTGGTTATGTGCTACCTAGCCTGGGCATATAAGTAAACGGCTGCCATTCATTCCTATGAAGAAGAGTATAAACCAATTTGGGGACAACAAACCTGCCTACACCCACAACAGGAACTTATGGGAAGAATGGGATGCCCCTCCTTCAGGCAACTCCAAGGTTATGGTGGACCAATGTTTCTCATCATCACTAAAACAAAAACAAAAACCCAAAGCACCAGATTCAAAAGGGAAAGAGGCAACACAGAGCACTACTTAAGCTGCTCTTCCCTACTTCAAATGCAACACCTGAGATGGGTGGGGAATGGAAACATTTTTCATCTGCTTCTCAGAGCCTGGAAACAATGTTTTGTTTAGGGAGGAGAAGAAGCAGGACTTGGAAACCTAACTTGCCTCTACCATGTCAGTAGATGCTATGATAGACAAACGAGTAGGCAGAGGAGGTGGACAAAGGGCTGGGATTCTCAGTTGCTTCCCTCTTCCCTCCCCAAGCTTGAAAGACTCTTATGGAGTCAAAATCTAAGACAGAAAACACATTAGTCACAGTCCTTTCAGATTAGTTGGCTTTCAAGTTTTGTCAGGAAATCAGCAGGCATGCATACTTCCAAGTACAGTGGTACCTCAGGTTACAAACACCTCGAGTTACAAACACTTCGGGTTACAGACTCCACTAATCCGGAAGTAGGACCTCGGGTTAAGAACTTTACCTCAGGATGAGAACAGAAATCGCCCGGCAGTGGCGTGGCGGGCCCCATTAGCTAAAGTGGTACCTCAGGTTAAGAACAGTTTCAGGTTAAGAATGGACCTCTGGAACAAATTAAGTTCTTAACCAGAGGTACCACTGTACTCTGAGGAAAGGACTCCCCGCCTGCAGAACTCTGCCCAGGCCACAAATACCCAAGCCTACCTGTACAGCCTCCTGAACTGCTTTTGCCTGGCTATAATGTATAATGAAGTCTGTCCATGCCTCTCGTTTGCCAGAATGAATGATATTGGTGAATGGGTGGGGTGGATGTGAAACCACGGGCTTTTGTGTGGCTGGAAAGTTGCCTGCTGTGTGAAGGTAAGAGTCCCATCAATTGCTCCACCCACTTTGTCTCTACCCACATCTGCCTGTAGGCCTACTTGCCAATGACATGCAACCCCCATTAAGGGAACATGGCCCTCGGGCTGAAAAACGTTTCTCACTCCAGCTTTAAAGAAATGGATTGCTCTTGCTCCTCCTAGGTAAGAATATTCACATTTCTCAGAAGAAAATGGAAATACAGACATAGAATGGTGAAAACAAGCTCTATTTCCAGATATGCCTACCATACAGGTTGACACATAGAATGATAGCTTTGATTCTTTGGAAACCCATTTGAAAGTAGCCTACTAGTCCCATATGGTCAACTGGTCCCATCTATTATCCAGTTGTACAAAAAATGTCCATGTACTGTGAAATTATGTTTTAGGTCACAAAGACCTTTAAATGGCCATATGAGACACTGTGCAATGTGGGCCTACTCAGAGGGCATGTAAATCATCCTTTCTTATGTTGAGATAGAAGACACTGCTGCTCTTTCTAAAGCTTTGGTAGCCTCTATGCATACCTCCAAAAGAAGACACCAACCTTGCACTACTTTGTTGTTTCTGGTTTTGCCGACATAGTGCGGAGAGAGAGAAACCCTTTATATTACCTTCCAAATTTCAGAATAAAAAGAAACAAATATTTACCTGATGAAGGTGTCCAAGGAAGGCCTGGGCTGTAGATATTGCCCCCGCGGCAGGCACAGTCTGTTTCTGAAAGTCCAGGCCATTTGTCTGTGTGCCTAGGGATGCAAAGAAAGATATAGTCTATTAAAATTCCCCTCAAAAGTCAAGTCTGAAAAATCTGTAGATTCATTCACACCTTTGTTGCCAATTTATCTACGTGTCAGCAAGAGCAGTAATTCAGGGCCAATAAACCTAAGTCACCACCTTTTCACCTTATCGCCCCCCTGGGCTCAACAATCAACTGGCAGTACCTTCAAGACATGTAGAATCAAGTAGAATCAAGACACGTGTTATGGTGGAGGGGAGAGAGAAAAGGGGCTAAGGCTCTATTAGAAAGATTTAGAAATGTTATAAAGATGAAAATGACAAGTTTAGCATGAGAGTAAATACTGGAAGAAAAGGATAAAACAAAATCTAACATGGCCACCCAAATTACGGGCTTGAAAAGAACATGAATAAAGAATACCACTGGGGTTAAGGGAGAAAAGGATAAGAGGAATGGAAAGAGATTAAGAATTTAGCATTGCTGAGCTTAAGTTCAATATGATGCTGGGTCATCCAAAATGTGACAGGGAAAAGCTAAAAGGTTGGCTTATGTCTAACAATGTAAGACAGAGACAGCATGGAAGCAAAAATAGTATTGAATGTTGTCACTACATAAATGATATAGACTATGACAATATGTAAGCTCTGGTGTAATCCGACCTCATGCCTTCAGAAAGAAGAGGAGGGTGGGTTTTGTTCCAATACTGTTATTCCAATTCTAGAGGTTACCAGAGACAGAAGTCAGGCTATCCCTGTCCAGAAAGGGGCACAGCTGAGCCACTAGCCAAAGTGGATAGAAGGCACTCTGCGCCACCAAGGTCACCTGAGCCTCAAGTGACACAATGGATCCAGATGTACACAAGAGCAGGTCACCTCCCACCCTTGAGTCTATGGAATTGCCCACTAACAGTGCCTTAGTCTAATCCAGATAAGAGTTTCAGTTTATTGGCTCTCATCCACTCCATTATTGAGGCAATACAATGGTCCAGCACATCCACTACCACACCTGTAAAGAAGTACAGCTGTGTGCCATCAGCATATTGCTGACAATGAACTCCAAAACTCTGATGACCCCACTTGTGTAGATGTTAAACAGCATGGGGAATAAAATCGAAACCTGGAGAATCATGCACTGAAGGCTCTACAGGGCCAAAGGGCACTCCCCAAGGACTACCTTCTGGAAACACCATTCTAGTAGGACCCAAACCACCACAAAGTGGTGGTGCCATCCACCCCAAACTCAGCGAGCTGCTCCAGAAGGATACCATGGTCGATGTTATTAAAGCCATTGAGAGGTTCAGAAGAATTAACAAGGACATATTTCCCTGTCTCTCTCCTGACATAGGTCATCATACAGGGCAACCAAAGTTGTTTCTGTGTTGAAATGCGGCAGAAACCCCAATTGAAATGGAACTAGAAAATCAGTTTCCTCCTAGAGTGCCTGGACATGATCTATGACTACCTGATCAAGAACCTTGCCCAAGAAGGGGTAGTGGCAACTGGCCAGTAATTACCAGTAATTTCTGAATCCAGGGAGGGTTTCTGGAGAAGTGGTTTACCACTGTCTCCCTCAAGTCAACAGGGACCACACCCTCTCGAAGGGAGGCAAGAATCACCTCCCTGGCCCAGCGAGCTGTCCCCTCCCTGCTAGTTTTTATCAGCCATGGGGGGCAAAGGTCCAGAGCGCAAGCGGTCGTGCTGACCAATCCATGCACTTTGTCCACATCCAGGTATGTTTATTTTTAAAAACCCTGTTCAGTGTATTATTCGGCTTCATACTGTGCTTGTTTTGATAAAGGAAGAGTCAATATTATGTAAGTTGCTATGCCTTAAACTCAGGATACTAATAGCATTTTTAAACATTAAAAATCTGATTGTAATAATGTATTATAATAGTGATTTCAATTGTCGGAGTGTTGGACCTCATGCATCTATGGATAGGACGACTTACAGACTTGGGAGAACTCAAATTCCCCTGCCCCCTAAGACAGTGCAATGAGGTCTGAACCTGCTCAGGATACTGCACAGGATACTGGCTGAATGTTGGGAGAACAGAAAACTGGGTGGTTGGTGGGATGCAGCAGAGTATCCTGGAAAGAGGCATGCTGAATAGCTGCAGACAGCAATGCAACAAATTTTGTTGCAGGTCCACTTCCTCCTTCCAAATATATGGCAATATATCGGAGCAACGAGCAGGGAATTTCCCTTAGGAACATTTGGCCAGAGCCTATAAAAAACTGCAATGATTTCAAGAATTAGGACATACTAGTGATGCTTGGTATTAATGTGCTAAATAATCAGTTTTTAAATTACGCTGATTTAGAAAGTACAACTCTGTGGAATTATTCTATGGAAACAAAGACTGGGGTAATAGCCAACCAAGTCATACACAGAGTAAACTTATGAAAACAATGGGCTAAGGGTATCACCCTAGAAGTTTAATGTATCAGTCACTGGTATAGAATTTTAATTCTATCATTTGACCTACTAAAGAAGAGGAAGGGACCTGGATCTAGCTGGAGGACCAGTAATAAGTATTAAGCCACAGCTTTTCACCTAACATTGTGTTGCACAACGTTCTAAAAAGTGTCTTCCCCTCTGGAATCCCACAGGCTCTGAGACTGCTAGTTAGAAAGCTGTGTGTGGTGGTTGTCCAATGATGTGGGGGTTCCTGCTCCATTGATGACTGCTGCTTTTAGGAGATAAAAAGAATAACCTACTTGGGGTTGTATTTAAATTAGGACATTGCTGCTTACCTGACAGAATTAACTACCGTTTCCTCCCACACACCCCATTTTGGGAGTTCTCCTGACTCTTCAGAGAAGATCTGGGGAAGGGGCAGGTGGAGGAGGGGGTTTCTGGTTATGTTAGAAGCATTGCTAGTGCAATGATTTAGTTTAATACAGCCCCAGGCTTTCCTAGCAGCAATCATAATCATGTGGATGCAACCTAAAAGGCAGTTAAATTGACATAATACCAATCTTCATGGCCACCAGAAGATAACTACAATTTATTGAACCATCTTGGCTCTTACAACCTTGATAAATAATATCAAACAGCTCTAGAAAACTGGCTGAAATCTCTCCTACACAGTACACAGCTGTAAAAGCAACATTACAGTATACCCAGTGTTATTTCTCTAGAAAAAGAGCAACTCACCATGAACGCCTCCCTTGTTCTCTTATAATGACAATGGTGCCCACCTGAGAGGGGCCAGAACTGATTTCCAGTCAGTTTGGGCTGAAAAAAAGCCCTGTGTATACCTTCTCACTTCCCCATTGAACTAGGGATTAGTAACTGAAGGCCCATGGGCAGAATTCAACCTGCATAATACTACCAGATAAATATTTTAAATAAATAAAATAGGCTATTACCAGTTCTTTATTGCCAAAGCCACCCCAGTATTGATTACATTAAAATCAGTGCAAAATACATATAGATAGAATGAACAACGATCTGGTGAAGAATTGAGTCTTCAGCTGGTGCAAAATCCTCAACAGAGTTTGCACGAACCTTATATGAGAAAGGAGGGAGTTTTATAATCAGGGCATTGCTACTGGTCCTAGAGATTGTGTCTATGTTCACACTTCAATTGGCACTTTAAATCAAAGAAGGATGCATAACAATTGTGTAACTTTCCAGCCGTGTTCATACCAGTTAGGACAATAACAGGTAAACAGGTAAGGGAAAGAGGGGAAATAACATTTCCTAGTCCCATAATACTTCTACAGCTAATTTCAAGGAAAGACTTAGCAATGTTTCCACCTTTTCTCCCCACTCTCCTTTTGCAGCTTAACTCTTACTAGCCCAGTCTATTTGAGCCCAGGTAGAAAGTTATGAATCAGTCACAATTCAACTCAACGAGTAACATCAATGGTGTTGATACTTTCAAGGACTGAAGGGAGGAGAAAATATATTTCTCAGAGCTGAATAATCTGCTGACCAATCAGGCTGCCTTACGTTACACTAGACTAGGGGTGGGGGATTTCAGCAGCCAAACCCAGCTCTTCCAGCTTCTATATCTGACAGGGAACTTCAGACCCAGGGACCAAATATTGTCCCTCAGGCTCTACCTGGCCCTTGGGACATTTCTTATGTCATGACCCTGCCCAATCCTTATTTTGCACTATCCTCAAGTACTTTCAAGTTGTCTGGAATGTGACCTTGATCTAAGATAGTGAGTTTTGCATGCCTGGACGGAAAATGTCTGTGTTTATGTGCAAACCTCCAACTTTGTAAGGCTTGGACATAGCCTACTGCAAAAAGGTAACAGTGGTATCTGGGCTCTTTTCACTTTTGCCTCTAGCTCTGTCCACCAGTGGTGTGTAGCCCCTAGAAGGCTGCCTACAACAGAATGCAATCCTCTAGCTGAAGGGCCCCCCTCCTCATCCCTGCAACTGAATGCTTCAGAAGTAATATATAAACTATAACAGAGGCAGCTGCACTAAGGGAGAAACTGGCTGCTGCCAAAACAGCAGTGCCAGGTTGAATCCTCCCTCCTACCTTGCATAACAAATACAACAACCTCCCTTGTTCTGAGGTTATTGCTCTGCATTTTTCTGTTCCTACTCCACATTGTTAGTTAACATCCGTACAAAGATCACACACAACGTAATGACAAGAGGGCAAGGCATATGTTGTACTATATCTTATGGGGGGTGGAGGCACAGCAGCTTCATGACACTTATGACATGTAGTTCTTCCCTAAAAGAACCCCCTACTGCGAGTACACTAAAATAACTAGATTTAGATTGTAAATATTCATGTAGTTCACATTTAGGGCTGGTCATGTCTAGGTATGCATCTTCTATGTCATTCTCAATGAATGTAAAAAGTTGTCACAAATGCAAAGTGAACACCATATGTGATTGTTGACAATTGTTCATCCAATCCTAGGATGATTCAGGAGCAGCTAAATGTATGGACTACAAGTCTTTGTAATACATCAAAAGGCTTTTCTCCACAATATTTATAAAATTGCTAACTTGGCCAGTGGGAAGGTTCAATTTGTCATCTCAAACCACACTCAAAATATTTCAAGATAACAAAAGCAGAAAAACCAATGTACATTTGTTTGCCTTAAGCATATACTTAAAAGAAACTCAAACCAAACCAGGAGAGCATTAGTAGATTGAATTCAAAACTACAATTTTCTTGAATTAAAATCATTCCAGAAAAATGTTCAAACAAATTTTCTCCTAACCAGTGGTGGTGGTGCATTTCAGGAAATTAGTCCCAAACAACCAACATTTATTTCCCAATTCAATCACTCTTGCAGTTGAAAGTATTTCTGCAACACCAATGACCTCATCATAAAAAGGTAAAGGTACCCCTGCCCGTACGGGCCAGTCTTGACAGACTCTAGGGTTGTGCGCCCATCTCACTCAAGAGGCCGGGGGCCAGCGCTGTCCGCAGACACTTCCGGGTCATGTGGCCAGCGTGACAAAGCTGCATCTGGCAAGCCAGCGCAGCACACGGAAACGCCGGTTACCTTCCCGCCAGTAAGCGGTCCCTATTTATCTACTTGCACCCGGGAGTGCTTTCAAATTGCTAGGTTGGCAGGCGCTGGGACCGAGCAATGGGAGCGCACCCCGCAGCGGGGATTCGAACCGCCGACCTTTCGATCGGCAAGCCCTAGGCGCTGAGGCTTTTACCCACAGCGCCACCCGCGTCCCATGACCTCATCATAAATATGTTTAAATTGTAATCCTAACACACAGGAAGAAAGTCCAAGAGAATATTGTGAGACTTATTTGTGAGTAAACAGGTTAGAATGAGGTGGGAGCCTGCTTTCCTGGAATCATGGCTTCTTGCTCATTTTACTCGCGATGTGAATATTGAAAAATAATGTTTATGATAATGGATGAAGGAGTACCACAGTTGTTAACTACAGACAAAATTACTGCAAACTCATATATAAAAGGGTAACGTTTTCTCAATGAACCAACTACCTGTAAAACCTGTTTTCAAATGTATCATAAAGAGATTAACTAATACTTATATCTTCTTGTAAACTGCTTTCAGGGTTTTTCACAATCAAGTGGTGCATAAATTTAATGAAATAAAAATAAAATATCTTTCTTCTCTAGCCTGTATTGGTACAAAAAGATTAAAAATGCAAAAACCACATTGGAATGGAATTACTATGAAATGAGAAAGTGGCTGTCATCCAGGGGAAAATGGTATGCCGTATGCTCAACGGAAATAGGGGACACAGTGAGAAAGAACTGGAAGCATGGAGAGGACATACAAGAACAGATGGCTCTGCAAACTCAACGATGGTAACAGATGTGCACACAAAATTAGGGCCCCATCCAAATGTATGGAAATTGCAGAAAGTAGATATTACCCTTTATGAACTCATATCACAACACCTCAATACTGTGTCAGTTTCTGTAAAAGCTAATAATTTTATATTTCAAAGGACACCAATGTCTTCAACAAACTTTTTTTGGGATGCACTGCTATCACTGGGAAAAACACTTCTGTGATAGGTTAAGGTCATAAGCAGCCACAGAATTTCATATCACCATCTTGAATTCATTTAGGGTCAAGAGGCAGGGTATATTTATTCATATTTAGAAGGTTACATGATCCCCAGGGAAGAAGACGAAGGTATCCTGCTTAATGAATGAGCTGTGACAACTACAATATTGAAGAAAGGGCCAATTAAGAAGTCACAAGGAAAATAAAACATCAGGAGCTCTAACACAGATACACCAGTATGATTACCTGGTAGCTGTACTAGGAAAAAAGATACTGGGAATATCTAGCCCTTAAGTCACAGCAGATCAGTAGCTCCTTGTACCCAGCTTCTACTCCATAGATAGTGGTGTTTTCATCCCTATCAGCAACACAAAAGTGACAGGAAGTGGCTAACCAGTGTCACAGAATGCTGACTGCTTCCTAGATAGAACAGTCTCTCTAGTGCAAGAAGAAAATTCAGAGATGGGGATTTGATAAGAAAGAATATGAAAAGGGGATCTGCTAAGGCCAGCTCTTTGCTTGGAGGCTCCAGGACACAGTATCTATGATAATTACTAGTCCCCATTTACACAGTACCAATGTATAGGTCCCATACAAAACAAACACTGAGTAAAGAACTAAGAAGTAAGTGCTGTTTCATATACTTAGAAAACACTACTAAGGCTGCAACCCTAACCCAACTTACCCGGGAGTAAGACCCAGTGAATTCAATAGGACTTATTTCTGATTATACACGGTTAGGATTTTACTGTAACATACCATTCTTCAATGTATTATAAAACCAGACCAGAATAAAATTGTCCCTTGCAAATCCATGAATTCATTAGGAAATCACACCATTATTTTATTCTTACCTGTGTCCCCATCACCACTCTCCATTTTTACAGGTTTACTGGTTTCTGACGGAGTGTTCATTCTTGAGTCTGCATTAGAAGCAACAGAAAATATGGTTTTAAAAATCCTATTCACACCGTCCTCTTTACAGCACAAAACAGGACATTTCATATTGGTGAACAGGGGGCACTATAAACTGACCAAACCAAACTGACCCTGAAATATCAAAAGGACACAGTAATGTATCACTGTAAAATACTATATATTGGATATAGTCAAAAAGCTAATTGAAAAAGGCGTACTTGAGGTGCTTCATAAAAACAGACCAATTATGTTTGCTACATTTAGAAAAAATAGTGTCCAAACCTGAAGGATTGTATTAAAATTTCATTTGGATTATTATCATAATTTTTGTCTGAATTCTTGTAAAATTTCCCAAAGTTCTGCTTAGACCTCTGATCTGCCTCTCCTCACCCACCCTTTAGGTGTTTCCAGTGGTGCTGCTAGATCCTTTTCTAAACAGTACACAGGCATGTTGCCATGAGACTTCCATGCTACCACTATGTGATTACATCACTATGCTAAACTGAATATGATGGTGCATGATGGTGTTCAGGTATATATAATTCATTGTATCAGACCAGGAACAGCATGGTGATGTCATTGTGCAATGGCAATACAAAGGCAATGTAATAGCAATAAACTCTTTACAAGACGTAGTTCTGGCAAAAGGAGAGACGCAACTTATCTGTTAAGACTTCTGAAACAGGATTTAAAAATGGAGGCTGGGGGATGAAAGGCTGCTGATAATAAGCGGCAAAAATAATCTAAACCACTGAAAACAATTTTGACAGGTCCTAGTCCTATCATTCACTGTGCTTTTGGTTACAGTCGTATCAAACTCCTTTTGCAACTAAACTGATGCTTGTTAGTATGGTACTGGAAAAAAGTCATTGCTGATGCCAACAGATTTATTCTCATTACAGAATACCACCCACTCTTGGTCTTCTCCAACTGGGATAAGCCTCTGAGTTTTTAATTACTACAACCCATGTGGACTCTTGTTGAATATTTTGTAAAAAAAGGACACAAAACGTTCAACTAATTTTCTCCCTTGGAACACTGTAATTAATTTTTGTAAAATTCAATTTTTGTTGTAAAAGTTACCTTTTTTGGGGGGGGAGGTGTTTCATGAAAAGCACCACCTTCCTTTCTTTTGCAGCTATTTTCTGTGCCTGTTCACAACCATTGTTCACCTGACCTCTTGCTGAGTGATTTGGGGGTGGGGTTAAGCATGAAAAAGAAGGCACCACAGTTGTGAAAGATGCCATCACACTGATACACACATCCTGTTGAAAGTAATGCAGAGGAATAACCACTGTATTTGGATGCTTACTTGGATTGTGACTCAGTTTATGTGGATTTTTTCACATCATGGATTTTCACAAAGGTAATGGCTCCCAGTTTTGGTGCACTAGTTAACTATTCACATCAAAATGGATGACAAATCTCACAACACACAACCTTAAACTGGTTTGAACATCCTCCCAGACTTTTCTAAAAGGCTACTGAAGGAACTAGAGTTAAATAGTAGCTAGTTATAGAAAAAATCTATTTAAGTTGCCATACTAAAAGAACAGCCATCGATAGAAACAAGGAGACGGAGTACTACATTAGAATTACAGCAAATATTCACTAGCAAGGCTGGCAGATCCAAAACTACAAAGGTGGTGAGACAGATGAATACATATATTGTGGCAGATGGCAACAGATCATGGGAATGAGCAAACCAATATGCCAAAAAATAGAATAAAATTGTGAGCAACGACCAGATCCAGAGAAGTCTGGACTATAAGAGAAAAGCGAAAGAAGAGGAAAGAAAGTTAAGCACCAGAAACCTGACTAAATTAATATAGTCAAAATAATTTGTTGCCTTTCCTAAACACACTTTAGCCATAATCCAGGCAAGAAAGTACTTCAAATTTTTAGATATTCCCCCATGTAACAAGCAATCTAGGATTTCCCCAGCTCTGCTCATAATTAGCAATAGCAGAAAGAACCCCCTTCAACATTTCCGATTGTCAGATTTCACCTGTTGAAACTAAATCACTGATGTTTACAGAAAAGCATTTAACAATGGAATTTGGCAGTGAAGAATACATTATTGCATTCTTTACAATTTAGCTGATGCTAGAGTTAAACCATATGCCAGAGGTTAGGGTAACAGTATAGATGTGAAAGTATTATTAAGAAGTGCTGCAAAAGAAATCCATTTGTCATATCCTATTTCTTAAAGACATTTGCACCAGTCAAGCCTCAGAAACAGTATGCAGGTAGGAAAGATTACTTCAGCAGCTACTGCTCCACCAACAATGCAGAATCTTTTCCTGTTGCATCATGCATGCAGTTATTTGCATAACAGGGAGTCATATCCCTGGATATTCCCCAGTATACAGCAGTTCTCCAACAGGAGAGCAAGGTTAATTTGAAGCTAATTAATTCCATTTCCTATACAATATCAGCTTCTTGATGATTACAACCTTGAAGAGTAATGAAGTAATCAATAGTTGTTTTTTTAAAAATGAGTACATATGTGCCATCAACTCTTATTGAAAATACTTGCATTATAAATATGAAGGCTAAAAACCTCCGCAGTGCCACAGCACACAGTACAATTTCTTTTTACAGTCCATTTGGCATCTTTCAAAAATGCTTTTTTCCATATCTGTCTGCTAAGAATTTGTACATAATAAGCATTGGTACATAACAACAGTGTACTATGTTTAAAAACAGCAGCAATAATGAGCTGGTTTCACAAAGCTATACTGGAGCCTTTGTAAGTTAAAAGATGTTGGATATATGTAAGGGATAGTCAGAAGTTCATAGAATAGTAGAGCTGGAAGGGACCATGAGGGTCATCTAGTCCAACCTCCTCCAATGCAGGAATCTTCTACCAATGTGGGACTCGAACTCAGAACTCAGAACCATGAGATTAAAAGTCTGATTTATTGATGTGAGCTATCCCTGTTGTGACCATAGAAGGGTTATACTCCATGGGTTCATATTTGGAAGCAAAATAAATTTAATGCCTCTTTTGTTGTATCATTAAAGAAGGTATCGTTAAATATGCTAATCATGCTTCAAAACAAGATAAACATTTCATCCCATCGCCTAGGACAGCCTTCCCAACCTGGTTGCCATCCAGATATTTTGGACTACAGATCCCATCGGTCCCAGCCAGCGTGCAATATGTCAGCCTGTCAAGAGTTTTTCACAACCACAAGATATAACGGCAACCTTTAGTTTAAGATGATATGAAGAGGAACTATACAAATTCATGGAAGACAGACTCATGAATTGCTATTAGTCACAACAGTGAAACTGAACCTCCATGACAGAGGTAGTATACCTGTGAATGTCATGTGCTAGGGACAAGCAGCAGAAGAGGCTATTACTCTGATGATCTGCTTGTCAACATCCAAACACATGTGGTTGACAATTGCTAAGAACAAAATACTAGATTAGCTGGAACTTGATCTGATCCAGTAAATTAATTTCAATGATCTGCACCACACACACAAAAACACAAGGAATGGATTAGTGATGAAATAGGCAAAAATCTACTATCTACAAGTTAATTTGGCTAGTGGATGTTCAGATAAATTTTCTCTATAATTCTTATAGAGACTGCCATTTCCTCCTCCTTTCTTTCACAAGCAGCATAAGGCTTAATTTGTAACAATGACACTAAAACACTGCCATAATCTAAAGTACACACAGCAAACTGAAGCATAGATTGAAAGCACCAGGTGCAGTGCTGAGGTCACATCCTGATGAGTTTCTAGAATCTAGATTCATTCTTACTAGCATTTTAACAGATATCAAGGCCAGTCAGCATTAAAATTATCAGCATTTCAAAATATATAGGGGGAGGGTGGATTTCTTAGAACTGATAAACCCTTTAAATTCAGCTACTGTTGTTCACACTAAGAGGAAGGTGTCATTTGCTAGGATTCCTCTATACAGCATTGTTAAAAACGGCATATATGGAGGGAAAAGCTGTGTAT